TATCGAGGGCTGATGCTTTACGAGGCTGTGCAGAACCACATCTCTCAATACGCAGACACACGCATGTTTCAAAAAAAGTTGTCCGAGCAGGACATTCCGATCACACTCCAGGACATTAGCTTTCCTGTCGACTCGGACATCTTCTGGGAACGGTCATCGTCAATGCAAGCCCTCATGGCCACGTTGATAGATCCGGAAAAGAGTCCAGATGCAGTGGTCAAGTTTCAGCTTCATTTCCGCTTCGAGCTGAACTCCACTGCCACTCCGGTGTCGGGCATGCGTGAGTTGACAGCAGACAACAGAACGCGCTTGGTGCTGGCCAGGTTATTGGGAGATGCAGGTGAGTCTGCAGGAAGGCAGGACAGGACAGAGCTGAAGATCCCCAACCTCTTTCCGACTCTTGGCGCATACGGCAGCTTCGCGCACATCCCTTTTGCAACTCTAGCTTCGGCCTCTTGTCTTAGTTTTCGTATGGTATGGATCCGGCAATATTTACTGAAAGCCGCAGGAAGTTCTTGAGACTGGCTGACGGCTCTGTCTCCGACATTGATTTTCTGCCAGACAAAGAGGACGGACAGGATGTTGTTACAAGATGCACGCATGGCCAGTTCTGGCAAAGTCTTCTCATTGCGCCATTCCGCGGCAGGAGAGGCGGCATACCAAGGACTCTGTGATCTTGATCTACAGTCCTGCCACTCTCCCTCCGAGCCCTCATCCACCCTACTGGTCGCTGGCTGCATATTCTGTCGGATCCGGATGGGAGTTTCCTCCATACAGCAACCACAACAGTTAACATGTATTTTTTGTCCGCACGAGAGCCGCCTCGGAGCCGTTTCCGGGTTCCGTTATGCATGCCCGCAGCCAGAAGTCGGTTATGCAGACAAACAGAGTATTGTCCAAGCCCAGGTTTAGGATTGAGAGTTTAAGTTTCCGGTTCCGGTGCGGTGATGCCGCAAAAAGCGGCAGGGGGAAAGGAAGGGCAACGAAGCATGGAGGAAGAAGGAAAAAGAACCCAGCAAACAACCGAAGACGGGTTGGTGGCGGTGGGAGGAAGGGCAGAGAAGCAGGGAGGGGGCAGGAGTTACAGAGCAGAGAAGTTAGCAGAGCAGGGGGGAAGGAGGCGAGGGTGGGGGCAAGCAAATCGGCGGAGGGAGGGGGGAGGAGTATGCAAAAGAACAAAATCGTGTCCAAGGTGTGGCACATTCCTGGGCAGACCAACGACACCGCTTTTTGTCCTCCTACGTACCCTCCAAATTTGTTCAAAAAGTTAAAACGGCAGTGCAGAAAGATTACATGATGACACAATATTACACATGATTCCATGAAGCGGATCTAGAATGTAGACGCCCTGTGCTTGAATTTGCCTCGATCCCCCACTCCCTCCATCGCGCCTTCCGGGAGCCTGCTGATGCTGATGCGAGCTCTTGTGGGGCTTCCGGCGCCCCGAAAAGCAGCACGTTCCGGTGCTGATGACGGGGGGAGGCGGAATGGGCGCAGGGGTGCAGTTGCTGTGTCCAGTCTGGCGGCATGCCGGGTGTACACGCTGCGGGCAAGAAACACTATTGATACTATTGCTTCAGGAGAAGAGAATAAACAACTGCTAATGCGGGCTGAATCTTAAATTGACCCTTTGTCCACAAGGCGGCTGTTTCGTCCCGCCCATTACGCTCTTTCACTCAGTGAAACAGCCAACCGCGAAGCGAATGCAGTGAGCGTAATGCATGTCACTATATTTCTAAATGAAGGTGGGATGCAAGACAAGGGCGCAGCATCTGTGTGAAGGACCCAGTCCAACATAATGCGCATGCGTTTTTTTTGCAATCATGTTGTTTGGTTCTCTTACACTGATTTTTCATATTAAGAGAGTAGTTACGCTTATTTCTCAGTTTCTCTTTCTGCAATGCAGTAACATGTTTGCACGAACAGGAGTAAATAATATCGAAATGCGAACGAAGCAAGAAAGGGAGATGAGATGCTTCTAATTCAAAATGAAATGAGTTGTTTCCCACCTTGCCGTTGCAATGTAAATGCCAGCAGGAAAGGAGCAAGATAATGAGCCGACATGAACGTGCCTTCAGAATCCTTTCATGGGAGCATCGTGGTATTCAAGAACCTGTTATCCTTGACATAACCGATGATTGGCAAACGACGAAGGTTACGACATATGCATATGACGATAAACGGAATGCAGGCATTTCGTTTGTTTAGTTTGTTTTCCTGCTTCCGAATCATGGAACTAGGCAAGGAAACTAGGTGTCTTATGGCTGGAGTTTAAGTTCCCTCTTCTGCTCTGTGTTTCTTACTTCAGAAGAACCCTCAAGACTGCATTCGAATGAAGAACGAGTAATTGTAGTTTTTTTCCGCTCGAAACGTTATGCGGCTTTCTGGCTTCCTACATGCCAAACGCAGCATTAATTTGTGTTCTGCATGCTTGTTTTTCAAGGTTCAGCGAAGTGGAATACCAGACACTTCCAGCATGTGTGCATGCTCCTAACTAGATTCGACTGTGAGCCTCTGCCAGCAACGTAAGTGTCTGGTGACTCTGGCGGCACGAGGTGAGGGTGGCGGTATTGTATTGGAGCGCAGACCGGGATGGAACACGAAACCCCCTTACAAACACGTGACTTGATTGACGAGAGGCAGAGCGTATGCGTAAACTCTGGCAAATCCAAGAATCCGACAGTCTCAGCATGTCGATGGAAACTTCCAGGCTTCGTATTCAGGTTTGATCTCTTTGTCGTTTCCACAGTTTCGGAATTTTCTTCATTTTTGTGCTTTGCTGGCGTGCACTGTCACAGTCTTGACATACCAGCGACCCCAGAAATGGGAGTTTTTGGAGTTACCCAAGAAGCCATTTTTTTGAGCCTATGACAGCAGAGTTTTGGGATTTCTGCATTATGTGCTTATGTCTTATGCGATCCTCTTTTAAGAGGTGCAAGCAAAACGCAATCCAGCCTTGATATCTTAAAGTCTTAACCTTGGGTACAAAATTTTTGTGGCTCAGAGCTGGGTGGATATCTGAGATTCTAGCCCCATGGCCAACGTGCAGGCGAGCCCTTCCACTTCGGACCCCGAATGCCTCTGGTGTGCACCAACCGGTGTGAAGGGAGCGCTTGAAGAGCGGATCCGGCGGCTCACGTCGGACAACCGAGGGAAGGCGTAACGGCGCCGTACTTCACCGATCGCACCTTCCACCAGGACAAAGTTTCCCGACCACTGAAGACCCCAAAGCCTCTTCCACCGCCTAAACGGGGAAGGGGGGGCCTGGGCCCGGGTTCGCGTGCGAACCTTACCCCTGAGAAGCGAAGCGAAGCGAAGAGAGAGAGAGCGAGAGAGAGAGAGAGAGACCGGTAGAGAGAGAGAGAGAGAGAGAGGGAGGGAGGCGGATGCCCTCAAGCCTAGGGAACGAAAAGAGGGAGGCGAACAGCGCCGGGCAATTTTCGTGTGGTTCGTAGACCCAGGTCTGTGGCTTCAAGCAGTGGAAGCACTTCGGAGCCTGGTGAGCTCGTGTGCAGTGTTGCCAGCAATCACATCGCCAGTGGCCCTGGTTCCTCGGAAAAGGATTCTAAACTGTGCCTCTGCAGCGTTAGGCCAAAACCGGCTCACCTCGCTGCCAACCTCATTCGACCCCCAATACAAGATTCTGAAAGCAACGCCAGGCAGTGAAAGATTCGCTGACAGCTTAGCCGGTGATATTGATGTTGATTGAATCTTTACTGGAACCATGCAAGCAGCGGCACAAGAGGCGGTAGGCCATGCAGTCGAACATGGTAGAACCCGCTGGACCGCTAGACTACAGAAACACATGTGCAAGATGGAGCGTGCGGAGATGCCTTCAAAGGTGGTCGATCAATGGGCTTTACCTCGGAGTCGTCCTAACCGTCGGAAACCTGTTTCGGACGATCTTCAAAGACAGTTCGAAGAGAATGGTTTACGAGGAGCTGCCGTGTACGTGCTATGGCTGTTGCGGGATGTTAGTTGCCGCCTGCTAGCTGCCTGGATGGCACAAGCTGTCCACCTCTCCAGGAGGTGTCCAACACGGACTTGCTGCTGGATCTCTGCGATGGCATCTACCTAGCACGAGTGCAAGGGAACTTGAAAGCTGAGTGGGAGCTGTACCACGAGTCTCGGCCACGAATTGGCTTCTGACATTGCATAGCCTCTGCTCGTTTTCGGATGGTCCATAGCAGCACCAAGGAGCTGATCCGCATTTACAGAAGTCCGGAGCTAATGGCACACGTGTCTGAACAGAAAGGCATCGGCTCAAATAGGATGAATCTCATGACATGCTTGTGTCAAGAAAGCCTCAGGTCAATAAGATTTGCATCGCGTCGCAGGTCGAAGTGCCTTACTTTCGCTCAGATCTGCACACATGCAGGTCGGCGAAATCAAATGGTACCGACCGTCCCCAGCCTTCAGACTGTCCCGAGTGTTGACTCCATGCCGACATCAGCTCGGTGGCAGCTCGTGGCCAGACAGATCAGGAGAGCCTGGGGAGAAGTTTCATAACTGGGACCTGGCATTCTGGCATCTCGCCTGAGCAGGACTGGGAGCGGCCGGCAAGAGGCCGAGTGAGAGCGCCCTGAACTCTGAACTGCACAAGCCGAATTGTTTTCAGCCGGAAGTGGCATGCGTCACCGCAACAGCCGTTTTTTGGTTGCAGAACTCCTGCGACCCCTGGCGGCGAAAGTTGCATTGTACTGGTAGCAGACTCCCGCTGCGTGTCGTGGGCGTACGCACTGAGGCGAGTCAATCGACTTTGTGCCTCCGGGATGTTCTGGAAAGACTGCCAGAGTCCTTCTCGCAAGGGCAGGAAGTGACTCTAACTGTTTTAAACACCTGGAACGACAGCAAACACAATGGTTGATTGATGACTCCAGGCTTAGTTCTCAAGCTCGGGCTAGACAGGACAAAAGCAACACCTTCCAGCAGTCCTTTGCCATGCGGGACGGGGGCCACATCCTGGTCTCAGCTTCATAACATATCTGTGCCCTTTCCAGGCTTTGGAGGACGCCTCGGACCGGCTAGATGAAGCTAGCCAGGTGGAGCCGCACAGAGCGAACCGCCTCAGATCCATGTATGGAGCATCTGCATCACACACAAGTTCGTGGTTGCAGCTGAATCAGTCCAGGTTCTTGCCGCTCAGGCGGTGTGTGCAAGCTCCCTACTTTGCAGTGCAGATACAAAATGCTGCAGTGCGGCATAGGCTCCCACTTGTCTCAGGCGGCGCTGAAAGGCGATGTGTCAGGCAGACTTGCTGCCATGCAGCTACGGCACCGTGAAACCCTTTCAAGACGAGCACGCGTCAGGCGCTCAAGCTGCTGCATCGCTTTGGGCGGAGTCGCAGGACTCAAGCCAGGCTCAGTCCCTATACTACACAGCCCTACTGGGTTCTGGTCGGCTTGGAGGACAGCGTTCCGGCGCGGCGTTTGGCCAGAATCTTGCCGTGTCTAGCGTTTGGTGATTACTCGAAGTCGGTATGAACTGGTAGAGTTAGCAGTTAGCACGATCCCGAAGTGCACCCTGGGCTTTGCTCACCAAGGTCGCTGAACTGCAGCAGGCGACGCCGTCACGACGAGCACTGTCACAGGCAAGCCGAGCTTTGGCCAATTTTTTTCAGCCGACATGTCTTCTTTCCAGCCAGCTGATGGAAGGTTATGGTTGTCTGCTTGGCACAAGGGGTCAGGAGCCGATGAACATCTGCAGGGTGGCAGGGCTGGGCTCGATCTCTAACACTGGAAAAATTTTCGTATCTATGCGAGCGAACTCAGGTCTGCACGCCCTCAGCTGAGCCAAGCCAGTGATATGCCCTTTCGCCGTGCTCGGAATGGCCGAGTCGTCGGTTTTCGGGTTTACAGTTAGCCTGGGCTACACCGGTTGCAAATAGCACCGGGGCTGCCTCTGAATGCAAGCGGTGAAACCAAGTGCCTTGTGTCGCAAGACGCCTCACAAAGTGCCTGTCGGCATCAAGGCTGCTGAACCTTTTCTGCCTCTTGACAGCTACTTGTAGCGTGCGGGCTTTCAATACGATGCCCGCTCTGGCAACAAGAGGATCCGGGAGCTGTAAAAGGCATTAAAAGGCCAGTGGAGCGTGGGAGGGCAAATGTGTGCGTCGGGATGTTCAAGATCTTGCGCTGGTGGCTTGTCATCAAGAAGAGCAGGAGCAGTACTGTGCCAAGTTGTGTGACACCAGTCTCCTGCCAGGCAACCTCGGACTTTCACGTCTCGAAGCGCTTAGGCTGCCGGCTTTGTGTGTGTGTGTGTGAGTGAGTTGTGTCGAAGTTTGCCATGCTTGCCAGTCCAAACCTGTTCCGGAAGTTGGGAAGTCAAGCTTGCGTCAAAGGCTCCGGCTGTTATGGATCCGTGTACCGTGGCGAGTTAAAGGACTGTGCCATGCAGAATGCAGCTTCGTGACTCGCATACATCGCCGTGGGCTACACGGAGGCAGAGAGACGGAGAGAGAGTGTTGTGACCCCTAAGCCTGGCAGAAAGAAAGAAGAGAGAGAGAGAGAGAGACAGAGAGAGAGAGAGAGAGTAAAAAAAAAGAGTGGAGCGATCTAACCCTCAAACCTGCACCTTCTCTCCGACCGGAGCCTCGGGCGGGGGGGTCACGAGGGCTGAGTCATAGTCATTACCTGGCGATTCGGGGCTTTGAAATCGCACCAAGACCTTTGGGACGACCTCAAGGTTAAAAAAGGGTGACGAGCCTTGGCATGGCGCCCACACGCGAAGTCAGCAAGCAGGCAACCAAGAGAGACCGAACACCGTAGAGAGAAGGATTGCAGGGGCCTGAAGGGAAGAGGGAGAAGAAGAAGAAGTATCACACCCCTTCATAGCACCACGGGGGTTTTCATATGGCCGAAGGTCCTAACTCGCTCCAGAAGACAGAGAGAGAGAGAGAGAGAGAGAGAGACCCAATGTGTCTTGTCCGGAAAGAGTGGATGACCCGAGTGGCAAGTGTGAGGGGATTGCAAGGTCATGGTTTAGGAGGGGTGTGCTTTCGGGGGGGTTGCTCACACTGACACTCGGAGGAAAACCTCTTTCCACCCCCGAATAGTTGCCGAGAAGACTGACCGCCGCGAGCCTTGGGGGTAAGGCCTTCGGGCCAAGGGCCCCCTGGGACCCTAAACCCCTTCGCAAGCAAGAGAGAGAGAGAGAGAGAGAGAGGAGAGAGAGAGAGACAGAGGCCGAGCTGAAGAAGACAGAGACAGAGACAGAGACAGAGACAGAGAGAGTGGGCGTGGGCCTTCGGGCCAACCCTTAGCAAGCCAGCAAGCAAGAGAGTGCTGAAGCTTCCAGGACGGCTCAGATGTGGCCATCAAGGCCCGGCAAGCCCAGCGTGTGCAATTTGCAACGCACGACCGCACAAAAATCGTGTATGTCCGCAGGCAATTGACCTTAGTGTCTTGATGGGCAAGGGAGAATGCCCGGAGGCCTGCTTACCAGAGCCGCGCCTGCACGGGTCCTGACATAGCAAGACTCGTGCAGGATGCAGGCTTTGAAGACGAAGTCACGCTTCTGAGCAAGTTCAGGTTGGAAAGGGCAGATGACGCGTGCAGTGATTGTAGGGGAGTATTTAGGCGCAATTGCAAGGCATCCACATCTGGTAACACTCCTCGGGCCCCTGCCTGAGCAGTTGCAGCCACCAGCAGCGTTTTCCACTTTGTTTCACCAGGTGGGGTCAGCATTGCTTGCAGCGCTACCTCGTGTCGGATCCTTGGTGATAAAAACCGTCAGACCGAGGCAACCGATGCTTCATGCCAGGTACGAGTTTCTCTCTGGCGGGGATGTGTTCCAGAGGCCTGCAGGATTTCGGCTCCGACTATTGCATCTCAACCAGATTGGCAGGCTTCACAAGTGTCACTGTGGGCAGCAAGGCTTCCCCTGGCACGACAGGCGGGTACAGGTAGAACAGTTGAGTCAGCTTCCTTGTTGGCGAAACTGTGTTTAACAGTGTAACACCATGGCAGGCTGAGTGTCCTCCTTGATGCTGCCAGCGGCTTGTCCCACATGCACAATGCCACACCAAAGGCCATTCCGGTCCCGGTGGTGAAGCACACACGTATTATTAAGGCAGAAAGCAACAGTGCAACGAGCATGCAGATGGAGTCCGAGCCTTCTGCATGTGGCTTTAGTCTCCGCTTCGGCCAGGCGTTCCACCGCGATATCAAGTCGGTGTGGTTCTTATCCCGTGTCAGCTGCCTTCACACCACCACGCAACATCACCCCAAATTCCCCTGGCAGCAAAGGGTTGTGGTTCCAGATTTGAGGTCGCTACTGTACGGTAGGGAGCATGCCGTGGTCAAGAACGGGTTGTTAAGCAACAAGGAATCGTACAAAAAGTCAAGAAAGCTGTAGCTTGCTTCCTGAGACGTGCGAAACGGAGCCGTTTGTTGGAAACTGGGAGCAGCGAGCACTTTCGGCGCCTCAAGTCGCACGCCTCTGTTCTCGACGGCCGCAGTGCAACCTTCATAGATTCCCAAGCTGGGCTGAATGCAGTGGTCCTCGGGTCTGGGCGAGCGGCGAGCTGGGCTGTGGAATGCGGGAGCAGATGGCTGGTCGAGCAGGTAGCGCGTGGCAACTGAGATACGCTGCCCACAGCAAATCGATTTCCAACAAGGCTGGTAGCTTTGATGCAAGGGACGTCGGAATCAACAGCTTCTTGGGCAAGCACCCAGGATTTGCTGGAGAGTTTCAGAAGCACTCTTATGATTTCTTGGTGCGTGAGCTTGACGTGCAGAACGTGCCAGCGAAGCTGGGTACGCACTGTACTCCGGCTGACTTACTTATGTTGTCGCAGACGTGTGACCCCTCGGCACACGTTTGGTTTACGGTTGCAAAGCAGAGGCTAACAACCCCAGAGGCAATCGCCAAGCTGGCTCGAGCCTTTCAGGTGCCTTCCAAAACGTTCAGCTTTTGCGGCATGAAGGACCGCTGGGGTATTACGACGCAGCGGATCAGCTTTCCCGGCAGCGTTCTGGTCCACGAGCCGCAGGTAAGTCTGTTCGACAGCATGGCTCTCGGCAATGCCTTCCCCGCAGCACACAAAGCGAGGCTAGGTGGACATGGCGGCAACGAGTTTACAGTCGTTCTGCGTCGTGTCACAACCGATAAATCGCCTGCCACCCTGGACACGTGCATTGATGCACTCAAGACTGGCTTCCCGAACTATTTTGGCCTGCAGCGCTTTGGTACTGGCGTCGTGCCCTCGTCCGAGATGGGTGTAGCGCTCCTGCAGAAAAACTTCAAACACGTGGTGGAGCTGCTGTTGGGCTCGCGCGCACGTCGAGGGACGACATTCCAAGCCTACTGTGAGGCAAGCAGAGGTAACTTTCGCGAAGCTCTTGCTCTGACTCCGACTTCCTGTCTGTTGGAGACTTCTGTGCCTCCTCCGCTATCAGTCAGCTTTCCGTTGGCTGTCGTAAGTTGCACTGGTAGCATACACCTCAATTGGGACTGTAGAAGCACCAGGTTGAAATCCATCAGATGCCTTTGCGCCCTCATCCTTTCCGTTTCAGCAGCATGGTAAAGTGTTTCTTGACGTTTTTGGGATATCAGGTCCTCCAGTACCTGTCTGAGCATCCTGGCGATTACAAGGGCGCCATCAAGTCAGTACCACGTCACTTGCGTCTCCTGTGGTGCCGCTCCGTGGCATCTCAGGTCTGGAATAAGGTAGTGTCCCTTCGACTGCAGCAAGACATGGGAGTTCTGACCGGCGATTGGGTGGCTGCCAGTAGTGACGACTCTGCAGCTTCTGTGTGGCCAGCGGAAGTGAGATCCCTGAAGCAAGGCGAGGAATCCTGTACACCTTTGTCGAAGGTGCTTGTGCCGGTGCTTGGGTTTGCAGTCAAACTGCCGGATAACGAGTCGAAACACTTGCACAGCCGTGTGCTACGAGAGATGGGCCTTGACCTCAGTGTCTTCGCCGAGCCCGAGAGCAAGGATGGTATTTCAATGCCTGGTGGCTATCGCCCACTGATTTGCAGACCATCTCAACTGACAGTGAGACGGCTCGCGTATCCTGGAAACGACAGATCCGAGGCAAAGGGTCGTCTCGTTTCAACCGACCTAGACCAGATGCTAGAATTCAACGAACCGATGGCCTCCAGCATACGGCCCTTGTCCTCGGCAACCCTCCGGGAGCCGACGGAGCACTTGGCTTTGGTGCTCGAGTTTCGCCTGCCTCGGGCAAGCTATGCCACCATGGCAATCCGAGAGCTCATGAAAAGATGCACCTGTGGGTCTCTGGTAGCGGCAGCTGGTGAAGCTAGTGCTTGATTCCAACCGCTCAGGCCAACATCCTGCTGGACAGGCATGGCACAGCCAAGATGGCGGACTTTGGTCAAGCCCTTGGCCAATGAGCAAGGCTCTGTTCCATCGAAATTTCGTGTTCGTTTGATCTGCTGCTTCTGCTCTGCAAGAGCTGGAATGGTAACCGTGGCAGCAGGAGTCCGGAGTTACACACTGTACTTACCTCGGCTAGCGCATGCTGCCACACTGTCCACTCAAGTAGAGCACTTGGATCGATGGCTGCTATGGCAGCCAAGCGCGACATTCTCCGGGTTGGCACCTGAGACAGCACCATGGTCTTCCTCCCGCATCATGTATCTTCCCCGATGTTTCTCAGGCACGGATGGCGGAACTGTTGCGGTCGCGAAGTTTGCCCAAGGTCGTCCAGTGATGTAGGTGGAAAGTAGATTAGTAGGCTGCTCGGGCAAAGCTTGTCAGGTGCCGGAGCGATCATCCCTCGAGCTGGTTCCTGAGATTTGGGCCAAAGTCGTGGTCTTTTTGGGCGACTTGGCTGGGTTCCGAGACGGTGTTGATGCAGAGGTCGAGCATGTGATGCACTTGTGAGGAACGGTTCCAGGTTTCACGACTGTCAGCGTCATAGTTTCAGACGTTCTTTGAGTGGGGTGGCGAAGTTGGTGTGATGAATCAAAGTGTTGCTCTTTCTCGGAGATCTGCGCAGCCGGGGCGCCCTGGCGCCGTGCGCACAGCGCATGACACCCGAGCCTTTGACCAAGCTCGAGCTTCATGGCGGCCAGGTGCGGCTTTGGCATTTGCCGGACATGCTCTGCACCCTGTAGCCTCAGCCCAGCCTCCTATCCACGCTTGTTCAGGCAAGAGCTTTCTCAGCGCTGCTCAGCTGTTCTGCTCGGCAGCACCTGAAAGTTTTGGACGTTCGTCTGCAAGGTGCCGCACTTAGCAGAGCAAAACTCTGTTGCTAGTGCCAGTTGCTTTCGCGTGACTCTGGAAGCCAATGGAGGCCTGAGTAGCGTGGCGATATCCCACACGCCCTCGCTTGAGAAGCTCAGCTTCAGCGTCTTTTCGCTGCACTTACATGTTTGAAGAAGGCACTCCTGATGTTCTGTCGGTTTGCACTCTGTCGTTCTCGGTCTCTGGACTGCGAGCACGCTGAAACATGAAGCATTCACTCGCAAGCCGTCGGCTTCGCCCCGACCCACCAATGTCGTCCCTGCCTGTCAGCATAAATCTGATAGGCTGGCCATTCATTCTTGTCAATAGCAGAACGGGGTCTGAGTGAACCTAGCAGGTAATTCCAAAGCTGTTTTCGCAAGCGCACCCCTGCTGCCAGCGTGGACGGATTGTCACGCCAAGACTAAGAGTCAATGTGAAAGTCGCGCCGACTTGCCCAGCTAAGCGGACTATGTTACCATGTTAAGCAACTGCTCTGGCTGGCATCCCTCCTGCAATGTCCAACAGAATCTGCCTTTGCACTGCTTCTGGTTGCTCTGAAACCCGAACTGCTGTATCTTTGAAGCTTGGAAGTGTTTGTAAGTATTTACTGCGACTCAACTGCGCACCCTACATACTCCATATACTCACCGGCTGCACAGTGACGGGTTGAATGCTGAAGCGACGGCTCAAGTGTAGTCGCACTTCGCCATGCAAAGGACTGTCGCAGTAGCTCGTGGCTACGGCCGATGCAGTAGGCCCCGATGGCCTCGGCAGTTCACCTCTCTCCCTCAGGGGGCTCTTCAGGAGATATTTCAGCCAGGCCGCGTGCACGACGTTGTCAATCCTCGGCTCGTCGAGACATCATGGGTCTCAGATCCCTCCCGGCTTCTGCCCGAGAGCGACCGCTCAGAAGTGAATGAGTTGTGCGAGAAGCTCCAGCGGCAGTGGAAGGCCGAAGCTGTAGTTGTGGTTTTGGACTCCCTGGCACCGGACGTGCAACCAACCGGCTTCGCTGCTGCTCTCTTGAACTTTTGGGGTGTGGGCGACCGGCGTCTGCACACGGGGCTTCTGATCCTGCTATTGACAGGCCAAAGGCGCTTGGAGATGCGAACGGGCTATGGCCTTGCACGAATCCTGCCCTCGCAGGTCTTGCAGTCTCTGCAGCAAACCATGGTGCCAATGCTGGCTGCCGGAAGCCCCGGCCGCGCCTTGTGCCAAGGCCTGAAGGGAGCATTGCAAAAGCTGGAGGAAGATGCCCCGAAGCATTGGCGAAACCAAGCAGGCGCAAGCTCAGGCAGAGAAAGGAATTCACATGGCTTCGGTGGTGGCCAGACACCCATCGACGAGTTCATGCCCAAAGACAGAGTGGCACCAAAGTGAGCCAGCTGCGTGTTCTGTCGGCGGGAGTTGAAAGATAGGCTGGGGTGGATTCCTGCGTCGTGACCCGAACTCGGGAGGCTGTCAGAAACCAGTTTGGCCGTTTCTCAAGCGCAGACATGGGTTGCCCACATGGAGACAGAACAAGCTTTCTTGTAGCCTCTTGAACCGTGCTGTCTTGTTGAATTGAGCAGCTCAGGCTGTTGACCTGGAGCATTTTTTCGCAGACTGCCCCTCTCTTCTTGACTTTGAATTCGACTGGGAGGTGGGAGTGTTTTGCATAGTGAAGCGAAGTCCCGACGCCGCAAAACTAGTACGACCCGTCATGGTGCATGGGTTGTGCAGGTCACTGATCAGCTTCGGAGCTTCGAGCTTCGCGCTGGGAAGCTCGCGGCGCCGCAGAAACCCGAAGGGCTGCTCCTTCGGAGCTTTCGATTGGAAGGAGGACCGAACGACCAAAACTGAGGAAGCAGGAAGCAGTCGCAAGGCCGCACCCTTCGGCAAGGCCTGCAAAGCCTGGACCTCTCGGAGCTGCGGCCGACAGAACTTTCCCTGGCTTTGCCTGAGAATGCGGATGTTCTCTGGCCCGAGCGCATGGCTTCGCGTTGCCTTCGCCGGCTTAGCCTTGTAGCCTGACGGCAGTGTATCGGCAGTTCTCTCATCCCCACTCAGAGTTCCTTCCAGTGGCGGCGCAGGAAGTTAAGTCTTCAAACTAAGGCACTACTGTAAGGGTTGCAGAATTCTTGCATCACTCTGCATCAAAGGATCTCGGCGTATCTATCAGCGAGGCTTGGCACGTCGTGATGCAAACCAAGTCATCAAATCGTACGTGCCGTATCCCCGCTTTCTGATGCGGCTGTGACCGGTGTGAACTGGAGGACCTTGCGCAACGATCACTAGACCTGCGAAAATTTGTCAAAGTTCAGAGGCTATCAGTGCGGACAGGCCGGGCGCCGAGGATGAAGCATGTGTGACACATCTGGCTCACCCTCACCTGTTCACAAAAACGAACGAAAATCCGATTCGGGCACGAAAAACTCGTGCGTGGAGCCGTGCCAAACATGTCGAAGCTCGGGCCCGAATCGAAACTTTAAATCAGCACCAGTATCACTGCAAGCTGAAACATGGCCCGTGCTCGCGGCTTTCTCCTCCTCGCTGCAGCTGGCTGCGCCATGCTGCTGGCCTCGCAAGCTTTCGTCCCCTCGCCGGCCCCGAAGGCTGCACCCATGGAGGTCGATGCTCGCGTGTTGGGTGCCACCTTCGCAGGCCTCACGCCATTGGCGATCGAGCAGCCTGCCAGTGCTTACGACAGCGTCGTGGCGATGTTGCAGAGCTGGTTGGTGGGTGGCATTGCCCTCGTCCTGATCTACGGAGCTGCCTTGGTGGCAGCTGTTGCGAACCCGCTGACGAAGAGACGCTTGGAGGTGCGCGGTGAGGTGGAGGCCATGAAGAAGTGAGAGTTGGGTGGCGTGCAGCGGAAGTGACGGGCCTAGCAATGCTTTGTACCCAGTCATGGAGGAGCTGCCGACAGCGAGGAGTCCGCAGGAAAGCCTCGCACAAAAAGCCAAGTGTCATCGGGGTTTCTGACATGCTACTGTGGAGCTGCTAGAGTAGTTGCAGGAAAGGGTTCTGGCCCAGTCAGTGTAGACGCAAGAGCTCGGATAGGTTTATTGCGCAGACGGTGCGTGGTGGTGCATGTCGCAAGCCGGACACTGACGAGTGTTTTTGTTCAAGTTCTTTTTGCGCCACCTTTGCTGAAACATGGCCCGTGCTCGCGGCTTTCTCCTCCTCGCTGCAGCCGGCTGCGCCATGCTGCTGGCCTCGCAAGCTTTCGTCCCCTCGCCGGCCCCGAAGGCTGCACCCATGGAGGTCGATGCTCGCGTGTTGGGCGCCACCTTCGCAGGCCTCACGCCATTGGCGATCGAGCAGCCTGCCAGTGCTTACGACAGCGTCGTGGCGATGTTGCAGAGCTGGTTGGTGGGTGGCATTGCCCTCGTCCTGATCTACGGAGCTGCCTTGGTGGCAGCTGTTGCGAACCCGCTGACGAAGAGACGCTTGGAGGTGCGGGGCGAGGTGGAGGCCATGAAGAAGTGAGAGTTGGGTGGTGTGCAGCGGAAGTGACGGGCCTAGCAATGCTTTGTACCCAGTCATGGAGGAGCTGCCGACAGCGAGGAGTCCGCAGGAAAGCCTCGCACAAAAAGCCAAGTGTCATCGGGGTCTTTTCTGACATGCTACTGTAGAGCTGCTAGAGTAGTTGCAGGAAAGGGTTCTGGCCCAGTCAATGTAGAAGCAAGAGCTCGGATAGATTTATTGCGCAGACGGTGCGTGGTGGTGCATGTCGCAAGCCGGACACTGACGAGTGTTTTTGTTCAAGGTAGTTCAAGTTTTTTTGCGCCCCCCTCGCTGAAACATGGCCCGTGCTCGCGGCTTTCTCTTCCTCGCTGCAGCTGGCTGCGCCATGCTGCTGGCCTCGCAGGCTTTCGTCCCCTCGCCGGCCCCGAAGGCTGCGCCCATGGAGGTCGATGCTCGCGTGTTGGGTGCCACCTTCGCAGGCCTCACGCCATTGGCGATCGAGCAGCCTGCCAGTGCTTACGACAGCGTCGTGGCGATGTTGCAGAGCTGGTTGGTGGGTGGCATTGCCCTCGTCCTGATCTACGGAGCTGCCTTGGTGGCAGCTGTTGCGAACCCGCTGACGAAGAGACGCTTGGAGGTGCGGGGCGAGGTGGAGGCCATGAAGAAGTGAGAGTTGGGTGGTGTGCAGCGGAAGTGACGGGCCTAGCAATGCTTTGTACCCAGTCATGGAGGAGCTGCCGACAGCGAGGAGTCCGCAGGAAAGCCTCGCACAAAAAGCCAAGTGTCATCGGGGTCTTTTCTGACATGCTACTGTAGAGCTGCTAGAGTAGTTGCAGGAAAGGGTTCTGGCCCAGTCAATGTAGAAGCAAGAGCTCGGATAGGTTTATTGCACAGACGGCACGTGGTGGTGCATGTCGCAAGCCGGACACTGACGAGTGTTTTTGTTCAAGGTAGTTCAAGTTTTTTTGCGCCCCCCTCGTAGAAACATGGCCCGTGCTCGCGGCTTTCTCCTCCTCGCTGCAGCCGGCTGCGCCATGCTGCTGGCCTCGCAGGCTTTCGTCCCCTCGCCGGCCCCGAAGGCTGCGCCCATGGAGGTCGATGCTCGCGTGTTGGGTGCCACCTTCGCAGGCCTCACGCCATTGGCGATCGAGCAGCCTGCCAGTGCTTACGACAGCGTCGTGGCGATGTTGCAGAGCTGGTTGGTGGGTGGCATTGCCCTCGTCCTGATCTACGGAGCTGCCTTGGTGGCAGCTGTTGCGAACCCGCTGACGAAGAGACGCTTGGAGGTGCGCGGTGAGGTGGAGGCCATGAAGAAGTGAGAGTTGGGTGGCGCGCAGCGGAAGTGACGGGCCTAGCAATGCTTTGCACCCAGTCATGGAGGAGCTGCCGACAGCGAGGAGTCCGCAGGAAAGCCTCGCACAAAAAGCCAAGTGTCATCGGGGTCTTTTCTGACATGCTACTGTAGAGCTGCTAGAGTAGTTGCAGGAAAGGGTTCTGGCCCAGTCAATGTAGAAGCAAGAGCTCGCATAGATTTATTGCGCAGACGGTGCGTGGTGGTGCATGTCGCAAGCCGGACACGACGAGTGTTTTTGTGCGAGGCAGTTCAAGTTTTTTTGCACCCCCCTCGCAGAAAGATGGCCCGTGCTCGCGGCTTTCTCCTCCTCGCTGCAGCAGGCTGCGCCATGCTGCTGGCCTCGCAAGCTTTCGTCCCCTCGCCGGCCCCGAAGGCTGCACCCATGGAGGTCGATGCTCGCGTGTTGGGCGCCACCTTCGCAGGCCTCACGCCATTGGCGATCGAGCAGCCTGCCAGTGCTTACGACAGCGTCGTGGCGATGTTGCAGAGCTGGTTGGTGGGTGGCATTGCCCTCGTCCTGATCTACGGAGCTGCCTTGGTGGCAGCTGTTGCGAACCCGCTGACGAAGAGACGCTTGGAGGTGCGCGGTGAGGTGGAGGCCATGAAGAAGTGAGAGTTGGGTGGTGTGCAGCGGAAGTGACGGGCCTAGCAATGCTTTGTACCCAGTCATGGAGGAGCTGCCGACAGCGAGGCGTCCGCAGGAAAGCCTCGCACAAAAAGCCAAGTGTCATCGGGGTCTTTTCTGACATGCTACTGTAGAGCTGCTAGAGTAGTTGCAGGAAAGGGTTCTGGCCCAGTCAATGTAGAAGCAAGAGCTCGGATAGATTTATTGCGCAGACGGTGCGTGGTGGTGCATGTCGCAAGCCGGACACTGACGAGTGTTTTTGTTCAAGGTAGTTCAAGTTTTTTTGCGCCCCCCTCGTAGAAACATGGCCCGTGCTCGCGGCTTTCTCCTCCTCGCTGCAGCCGGCTGCGCCATGCTGCTGGCCTCGCAAGCTTTCGTCCCCTCGCCGGCCCCGAAGGCTGCACCCATGGAGGTCGATGCTCGCGTGTTGGGCGCCACCTTCGCAGGCCTCACGCCATTGGCGATCGAGCAGCCTGCCAGTGCTTACGACAGCGTCGTGGCGATGTTGCAGAGCTGGTTGGTGGGTGGCATTGCCCTCGTCCTGATCTACGGAGCTGCCTTGGTGGCAGCTGTTGCGAACCCGCTGACGAAGAGACGCTTGGAGGTGCGCGGTGAGGTGGAGGCCATGAAGAAGTGAGAGTTGGGTGGTGTGCAGCGGAAGTGACGGGCCTAGCAATGCTTTGTACCCAGTCATGGAGGAGCTGCCGACAGCGAGGCGTCCGCAGGAAAGCCTCGCACAAAAAGCCAAGTGTCATCGGGGTCTTTTCTGACATGCTACTGTAGAGCTGCTAGAGTAGTTGCAGGAAAGGGTTCTGGCCCAGTCAATGTAGAAGCAAGAGCTCGGATAGGTTTATTGCGCAGCCGGTGCGTGGTGGTGCATGTCGCAAGCCGGACACTGACGAGTGTTTTTGTTCAAGGTAGTTCCAGTTTTTTTGCACCCCCCTCGTAGAAACATGGCCCGTGCTCGCGGCTTTCTCCTCCTCGCTGCAGCCGGCTGCGCCATGCTGCTGGCCTCGCAAGCTTTCGTCCCCTCGCCGGCCCCGAAGGCTGCACCCATGGAGGTCGATGCTCGCGTGTTGGGCGCCACCTTCGCAGGCCTCACGCCATTGGCGATCGAGCAGCCTGCCAGTGCTTACGACAGCGTCGTGGCGATGTTGCAGAGCTGGTTGGTGGGTGGCATTGCCCTCGTCCTGATCTACGGAGCTGCCTTGGTGGCAGCTGTTGCGAACCCGCTGACAAAGAGACGCTTGGAGGTGCGCGGCGAGGTGGAGGCCATGAAGAAGTGAACGGCGAAAGGGGACTTGCTCCAGAGGAGTCACTTCTCGAGCTCGCTCGGCAGAGGAAAATGCTAACACACACTTATGAGCTTCCAGTTCGTGTCTGCAAGCCGACGACTGAGATTGCCGGTTTTCAGATCTTGTAGATCGTAAGTAGCATGCGGAGGCTCCTCAACGCTGTGCTTACCTGATGCGCTGCAGCTTCAAGAGCTCTTTCTGGAGGCAGGGCTGGGCTCCAAGACTTATTTAGGCCATGTCTTTTTAATCGCCGATCGCATCATATACCATCATATCACCGGCAGGTGCCAGGTTTGGCCGCACTCGATCTCTCGGACTGGGCGGTCTTCGGTGAGCTTCGACAGCGCCGGAGATGCATATTCCCACAAGTATATGCGTAAAGAGACATATTTTATATATCCGCCTCGAGCAGGAGGGCAGTAGGAGGGCTGTCGGCTGTCTTCATCCTTTCGACATTCCGGCGGTCCCAGCGGTCCCTTGCCGTCTGCTCCAAGGTTGGAACTGCGCGGCTGCAACCTCCAGGAGTTGGCTCTCCCGCAGGTGGGGAAGTCGGGGGCGGGGGACGGGAGCCCAAAGATTCCGCTGTTTGCTTCACTCATCTCGGGAAGGGTGGTGAGCTCCGGCGCATCACGCTGAGGGCGACGCAGCTTCCAAAGCTGTATTTTTGGCTAAAGGCTGGGCTGGGCATGGGGAACTCTACGAGCGAAAAAACAGCAGGCAGCAGGCATATGCAGGCATACACCAGGGCTTGATTTGAAATTGAACTCTTGAGCTTGTCGGGAAGCTTTTCAGGGCCGTCAACGAAATCCGCAGAAACTGGCTGCACTGTCGACGACGTGCGATTGTTTTGCGAGGCGGCTGAGTCTGTCGATGTCCAAGTACCGAACATCTCGCACCTACATATCGGTGGCTGCACTGGCCTTTCCAGCCGCTGCTTGTTCCCTCAGCTGCATTTAGCACAGCTTGAGATCCAGCTCCAGCTGAATCTGTCTGTCAAGATTGCACAGGACAGGAAAGCCGGACTCAGGTCTCATCTGCTGGCAGGCTGCCAACAACTGGAACAACTGCAGCTGTCCCACTGTGCATCTGTTGAGTCACTTGAGCTTTCCTCCACGCGGCTTGAGGAGCCCTGGGCTAATACGGGGACTATCCACATCGAATCGGATGTGTCGCTCGCATCAAGACACCCCAAAAGAAAGACCTACCCTGCGCTTTACCTCTGTCCGCACACCCCCCAGACCTGTGACAGGCCCTGTCGATATCAACCGACTTTGACCTTCTCGTGCAGAGGAGCTGAAGCTGCGTCTCAGCCGAAACCATCGCTTGCAGACGTTGCGCCTCCGGTGCCCCAGCCTAGCGTGCCCAAGATGCATCAGTGGGCACTTGCTTGGGTGTTCAGTCCCTGGGGGCTTCAGTGCATATTCGGTCAAGGTGCATTGCGCTGCCTTTGGCACCGCTTGCTGGCGCAAATCTGCGACGGTTGAGCCTCGAGTCTGCAAGGCACGGTCGAGGAGTAAAGGGAGGGGACAGGCAACTCCTGGATATCTGGATACTCATGAATCATGCTCGTTCAGTCCCTTCGAGCTGAAGCCTGGCAATGCTGTTCGGCTTAGCCTGCAGCACAAATGGGACAAGTTGGAGCGTATGAAAGGAGTCATGACTCTGAAGCACCTGGCTGCATTACGTCGTCGTTTGTCAGCGTCCCTTACGCTAGCTGACTCCCATCGTTTACACTCTCTCCCGCCGTCGTTGTCGTCATGTATCGCGAACAAACTGTCGCGTGCGACCTAGCCCTCGGCCGGCGTCGCTGCATTTTCTTGGAAGGCTCACATGCTTGGATCTCAGCTCCTTGCGGTGGCAGGAGCTGCTTGAGCTCAGCCAGGGGCCTGGCACACTCATGTCAATGAGCACGTAACGGTCGCTGCGTGGCAGCGCATGGACGGGCAGTGTCCTTCCGCGGCTTTGTCTGGCTTGCGAGGCCTGCGGCTTCCACATCTATCAGTGCTTCATCCACCCGAGGCAGCAAGACCTCTCGCAGGTGTCTCGCCAGTCGTCCTGTAGCTAGACTTGCAGCAATCACGGCTCAGTTCTCTCTGATGAAATGGAAGGTAGCTCTCCGGATCTTGCCTGCAAGCCGGAACCTGTACAAATCCTGATCTTTTCCAAGCATCTGAACAAGTTGGATCTGACAGGCCTAGACGGTTTAGTTCTGAAGGGATGTTAGTTGTCCATTGGCTGCAGGTTGCACTTGAATGTGCTGTGTGGGAGGCTTGCGACACGCGAAGCGCATCGACCTGACTTTGCAGTCCTGGCGTGCTCAAGTTCTGTGGCCAAGGCATGCAAGGTTACAAGCAGGCACGTGCTGGAAGCGTTCCGCGTTCGCCTGTTCGCCTTGCTGACCTTCAGCTGTGTCGCCACCAGGTTCCCACCCGGCAGCCTTGCGCTTGTGGCTTCCGTGCTCTGAGACTCCGCTGCCCCCACAAGGCAGCCTGCGAAAGCAAAAGGGAAGCTCAGGCTGCAGACTTGTGATTTGCAGGCTGCGGGCTTCTGGAGTCGGCAGAAACTCTGGACTGTTCGGGTTGTCATGTCCTGAAACCGGCACCTCGGCAGGCAGTAATCTCAAGCGAGGAGGATGCCATAAATGCATAGCTGGCAGCTCAAGGAAGCCTTGAAGCCGGAAATGTTTCCGAGCTTGACCTCCCTCGACGTGACAGCGGCTGGGCCAACATGCGGTCGTCAGTTCAGCGCTGCAGGAGCGATACCCCGCCCTCCGTCAGCTTCAGGATTGTCAGGAATTCAACAACACTGCCTTGATCAACGTGGCTGGTGCGACTGCTTACATCAGAGTAAATCGAGGAGAGTGGTTACAAGTGACCCGCTGTGCCGAGTCTTTGGGCCCATAATGGCCCTGAGGCTCATAGACTCATAGGCCTCATGTCCAAAGCTGCTGCGTAGTACTCCAAGTCTCGTCAGGTGCTGCAAAGCTTCGGCGACTGCGCTGTCCAGGTTGTGCCCGCCTCACCCCCTCCGGCATTCGGCGCGCAGTGCAGAGGTCGGCGTGCCTCAAGGACTTGTCAGCAGCACAGGCTGCACCGGAGCAGCATGTACCGTTCGCACATTGCGTAAGTTCCGAGAGTTGTCGACACCGGAGGAACTCGAAACTGATGTGGCGCCGTGGCAGCTCTAGCGTTTCTACTTGTAGTTCAGTCCCTGCGGATTTGTGTGCAGATTGGGCGGAGTGACGTTGACCGGTATGATAAGTTTGCCGCAAGCCTTTTTGTGACTGAGCACCGATGGGGTGGTATGCCTTGCAGTCTGAGGTCTGGTGGCCTGAGCTATCGAATCCTTGGGACATGGTTGACTTGTGCCTGTGGCTTTCGAGGCGAGTAGTGTGCGGATACTACAGGCCTAGAGGCCTCTGTCTGGACTGCCTAGTGACATGCTTGAGGCCAGAGCTCCGCCGGAGATGGCGGCGCCTCTGTCCCACCCAAATGGCCGCGGCGATGGCGCATGCATCCAAAGCCTTGAGGTGCATGCTCCACACTTCGACACTAGCAGTTTCAGTCCTGGCAGTGTCCCTCGGCTTGGATGGGCCGCTGATGGCGTTTAAGGTGTTGCTCCCTACTTGCTGACTCAGCCAGCACTGAAGGTTGTTTTGGGGACCGGCTCCACGTTGTTTCGAGCTCTGGCAGTTCAGAGGCGAAGAGGAAAAAATCACCTGATGTTCTTGAATGCATCGAGCTGTTTTTATTGTGGGCATGCTGGCAACGCTCTCGGCTCTTTGCTGTTCGGTGCTTCAACACAGCACCCCTCAGACTCAGACGAGGCCTCAGCTGTGTCAGCCAGAACGGTGCCACGAACATCACGGTCTCTGCCTCGGACTCTTGGACCGCCCTCGAAGCAGGGGCACGAGAGCAGCTTTGAGGTGAAGACCATTGGCGGTACTCCGGGATACAAGTGTGCGCGCCTTGACCTGGTGCATCGGCCATAGTTGCCATTCGCCGCATTGGCCATGGCCGCAGCATCACAGACTCGATGAACCCTGCAGCAGGCGTTCATGCTCGGCCCCCCCCGGCAACAAATCGACATCGTTATAAGGACAGAAGTAATGAATAGCATTCAAAAACTCCAGATTGGAAATTCCTTGCTAAACTCTTTTCTTAAAGTGCTTATAGGTTAAAGATGCTCGCGTCGCAGAAGGTCCTGTCTATGAGCGCACGCGACGCTGCACCGAATCCTCCGAGGTTCGGCTCAGTCTCAGTGTTAGGGCAATGAGCTTGACGAGGAGCTGTCTCACGGCAGGTGTACTCCTTCGGCATGGTAATGCTGGAGGTGATGACAGGCCAGGGCCACAGAGCTCGCAGACACACAGCATAACCCGCCCGCCTTCGGGCACCAACGGGCGAAGCTTGCGGACTTAACATGTTGTAGAACCCCGGCCTATAGCATGCTTCTCCGATGTTTTGGTGAAGCCTGCCCTATGCGAGAGGTAAGACGTTGCTTCTTTGCAGCTTTGAAGTTCGGACGCGTAGGGATAGCAGAGAATCACATGTTGGCCTAAGTACAGATCGACGACCTCCGGCAGTAGGTCTCGATGCTTTCTGCACAGTAACCTGCAGCCGTGTGTTTCCGAAAACATGGCAAGCCAGAGGCCTGGATCCTTCGGCCACCGACCCAGCAGCACCTCGAGGCTCCAGAAGCAACGCGCGGCATTTGACTCAAGTGCTGCATGCTTTCTTGCAATGAGAGACCAGGATGGAGGAGTTTGACAGAAGAAGCGATCATGTTGCTTTGCAGTGATGTGCAGCTGCTTTTGTAAGTGTGAGCGCTTGTCAGCGCCAACGCTCTGCCCCTCGTGACTCGCATTCATGACTAGCCACATACAAGTATTGAAGTAGCATTTCAAAGTCGAGACGATGCTTGTGCAAAGATTGCGTGTGCCATGTCTGCTATGTCGCTACGCTACGATTCCCTTCAAGAGACCAGCTCTGCTGCAGGCATCGTCTTCCCGCTCGTGCGGTCCTCGAGCCTTCAGGTGGAAAACGACACCAGCGTGAACATTGGATTTCCAACCTATGCCTCTAGCAGGGGAGACCTGGTAGAACAGTCAAACAAAGTGAGGGGAGCAACCTCTACTAACTAAGGCAAAGACAGTGGCTCCAAACACGCCTGGCGCGCTGCAACGGCTCAGAAGGCCAGGCGAGCGGGGGAGAAGCAGACTATTCACTAGGAGCTAGTACAGGTCCGCAGACACAACAGCCAGTTGGCTGGTGCCTGAGTTGCCAGAGCGCTGCTTGGGTGCTCTGGTTTACTGCGTGCCTGCATTCGCAAAGCGCCAGCCACTTCCAAGCCATCTTTTTCGAGAAGGCCGTTTGCAGGTTGTGCAGACATGCCAAAGGTGTCGATCAGCCAAGGCCTCGAGATCTCTTCGAGGAGCTCACCCCGCCGGGATCCGTGAAGCATGCCGAACTTGTATTGACATCAAGGATGTTCGCGGTGTAAAGCCAAGCACGACGATTGTAAGTGGCCAAAGCAGTCACAGCCCTTTCGCCAGCCAGTTGTCACGACGTAGTAAGACAGGAGAACATTCAGAATTCAAGGAGCAGCCCCAAATAAGTAGTTACTCAAAAATTTAAGAGTTTCCTTGCAGCATCTATTTGGAGGGCCGTAGTTCCATTCGTTCGGAAATCGAAGTCAGCGGCGTTGACCCCAAAACAGTGCACCACTGCATGACATCGCGGAGATCGCTGCGATCATCGCATGGGAGCTCCGGCAGCTAGTTCCGAGAAGTAGAGCCTAGGGCCTAGGGCGGACCACGGCCCGCCATGGTGCGCCCGCCCGGACTCAGAGGGCCGGGACACGGAGCTGGGCCCAGAGCCGAGGCCATCTTCGCAAGCTTTGGAAGTCAGAATTGCTGCTTGAGTCTTGAGATTGGATGACGAAGGTGCAATGGCCTGCCGCCGGCCTGCAGCCTGGTCGAGCTGAGCTGTAATTGCCGGCAATGAATTGGAATGCATTCCTGTTCCGTACTGCACGGATCTCTGCAAGGTCAGGGCTGAGCCACTGAGCGTGTTAAGGTCCAACGTTGGCCGGACCTAACTTCACTTCCGAACACTAGTCCGGGACGAGCTTCTGCGCTGAAAACAGTGCTTTCAGTCTCGGGAGCATGACAAGACCAAGCCGCGGTGACCAGAATCTGTTGGTGTGCTGTCCGCATGGTGCGGCTCGACTGCATGCGTAGATTGGTATGGTCCCTACATTAGCAAAGCCACGACTGTAACATGCTGGTAGACATGAGGAACCGAAAGCCAAGCGGCAAGAAGCCCAGCCCGGTTGAAGCAACATTCTCCGTCGGCAGACCCGGTAACGAATTCTGCATTAGGGTAGATCCCTCAATTAATTCTGCACGTCACATGGCAGCAGTTTCCTGGCTTAAAATCCAGGGAGGTCCCTCGCTGGTCTGGGCATCGCAAAGTGCCTGTCCCACAGCAGACGGCGCAATTTGGCTGCCCCAGATTATTTTTAGAGGCTCCACAACCTTTCTACGATAGATTCTGGGTAAGACTGGCTGAAAGCGGCGCACGTGTGTCAAAGCCAAGGTGGTCGTGTTCGCAACGGATGACCTCCGGCTGACCAAAGGGGTGGAGGGCATTGGAGGGCTGCGCTCACTTTCGCCTCACAGCAAGTGTTGGCCATCGTTAGGGCCATGGTTGTTGTCTTTGTCTTGATCACGTCGGATGTGGAGTGTCCAGTACGTCCGTAGTACGTACAGCAAGTCTGCTTGCAAAGTTCCAAGGACCTATGCGATCGGTGCTGATTTTACCATGCAGTCTCAAAGTAATCTGGCATGGCATTTTTCCGAGTTTTCTATTGGGGGTAGAGAATATTTCACAAGAGCACGGAGGTGGACCTGTCGCGCTGCCACCGCAAGTAATTAATGCAGCTTTCACTGCCACCTGATACCACGGCTTCTGTTCCCAACACTGTTTCGATTTCCTACCACGAGTACTTATCTTCGGGCATTACAGGTGTCGCCGTGGCTAACTTGGATATGTTGATACCTGCTAGCACTGTCGATTCCGCTGCTGCCACATGCTGATGCTTGTCGTTGCTTCTGTCTGGTTATGTAGTAGTAGTAGTAGTAGAAGAAGAAGAAGTAGTAGTAGTAGTAGTAGTAGTAGTCGGAGCCGGGGTCGACCAACTAGTGTGCCATGGCCAATTTCCCTAGCCCTGCTCTATCGCAACGCAAGCTGAGGACAAACCGGACTTTGTGTACGAACCACTGAATGTCGGACGTGACTTCGGGCCGTTGGACCTTGCGTCCACAGTCATCTATTGCAGGTGGGTTGATGTACTTTGCAAAGAACATGCCCGGTGCCGAGCGTTAGTCCACATCACTGCTGATGGCACACGAGAGACATGGAGCAACACGGTGACCCTCTGCTGTGCGTATTCCATTCTGGCGAAGGGCTTGTCTGCGCAGGATGCGTACCAGCCGTTCGCTTACCTGGATCTTCCGGCGTTCGTAGATTGTCGGGGGGAGGGTGCGAACGGGATCGAGTTGCAGGAGGAGGAGTCGGACTTCAGGCTGAGCGTGCTCGATGTCTTGATGGGCATCCAGCGTGCTCGCGATTTGGGCTGGTTGGATTACCGGAGCTTCCCGGTGGAGGTGTACACCCAGATGCTGCGAGCAGAGCATGGGGACATGAGTTGGATACTACAGGGCAAAGCCCTGGCGATGGCAAGTCCTTGGGCACAGCCCGTAGACACGGAGGGAATGCCTGTTTGCACACCGGATGTCCTTGTCCCATATTTTATCGACAACAAGATTGAAGTCGTAATTCAGTGCAACCATCCTCAGTCCGAGGAGAAGGGCGAGCGGAGAGAGTTGATCAGCTATGATCCAAAGCCGTTTGAGAATGCCGGCATCAAACATGTGTGGCTTCCGTTCGAAGATGGGGGTTGCCCATCTACGGAGCTCATCCAGCAGTTTCTGCAAGTTGTCGAGCCGCAGAGTGGCGCATTTGTCGTCCACTGCAGGTCTGGACTTGGCAGGACTGCTACAGTCATTGGGATTTATGCCATGCGACACCTTGGTTTCACGGCACGGTCCTTCATAGGCTGGTCACGAGTAGTGCGGCCTGGGACGGTCCACGGCAGCCAGCAGCAGTACCTCGTGAATCTGGAGCCATACGTACGCCCCGGCGTTGAGAGATCATTGGCCAACTTGAACCAAGTGGAGCAATTGCAGATGCTGCCACTGCGAGAGTTAAGCTTTTGGGCTCTTGACTTAGGTGTCAATCATGCGCTGCTGGCTAATCGCTCACGGACCGAGCTAATTGAGATCATCCTTGAAGCACGTGGCAACGTCAAGTCCGGATCCAACTTGCGGCCGCCTGACCCCGCGGCGCATCGGGCACCTGACCCTGCCGCGCACCGGAATTCAGTGACGGCCGGAACCCCCGAAACGATTGTGCCACAGCAGTTGCAGAGTGCCAGTCAGAAAACTCCGGACGAACCAATCATAGATCCTTGGCAGGAAGCTCTTCAGTATCTCAGACTTCTGGGTTCTTTGCACGACGGTTTCGGAGCAGATGCCATCATCCAGCTGGTCGAGCAGATTCGGGACAGCCCCTCGACTCGAACCGTCGTGAAAGCCGAAGAAGTTGAATCGGCAGCCATGAACGAAGTCAGTGCGGCACATGCTGCAGCTTTGGCAGAGACACGACGAAAGGAGGCCGAGTTGGGGGAAGCTTTGCAGCTTGCCAGGGCTGCTCGGCGAGAATGCGTACAAGTCAAGCTTTCCATTGCAATGCAGCAAGATGCGTTGCTCCAAGCCAGCAGCGATGCTGTGAAAGAGTCGGCCGTTATGGCCGACTTGCAGCGGCAACTGGCGGAGGCAGCGGAGGTGCGACGCCAGAAGCTGGAAGCTCACCGAAAGGAGCAGGCTGCTCTGCAAGATGCCAAAGACCAGTGGAAAACGCTTCAGATCCAAGCAGAGACTGAAACCATTAACAGTAACATTAGCGCGGTTGGACCGATGGAGGCCTGGCAGAATGCCAAGCGCTCACTTGATCGCTTGCGTATGCGCCTTGAGCAGAGCTAGAGAGCACGAAAAGCCTGTGCAGCAGGCATGCTGCACATGAGGACTTGAGACTACTCAGACAGAATAGTAGCAGGCAAGATCCTGCAAGTATACAGGAGGTGCACACAATGAGAGACTGGCTCTGGCCACAGCCGAGGCTGGCCTTGCGCAGCGTCTGCTGCCCTGAGGAGGAGAAGAGGCCAACTTTTGTGGCAACTTAGCTCAACGCGTTTTCGGAGACGATGCTGCTCATGAGCACGACTTTGCTAAGTTAAGGAGCTGGTGCGACAGCTGAAGTCCACAGCCGGCCACCTACAGCCAGAGAGGAACCAACGCATTGTGGCAATCTGCCTTGTTCTCCCGGCTGTAAAACAAACTATAACAAACTGTTCATGCGGAGGTGGAGCGTTTCCCTCCTCGGAGCTCGTCCGAGCGAGTTGACATGCTTCAGGCCGCAGTATGAGAGTTCTCGATCGATTCAGTGCAACGTTTGAGAGCATGGATCCCAACCGACAGCGTTTGACTCCCAGGCGGAGGCGTCAATAAAGCAGTCGGATGGTAGCGGCCAGGAGCTTGGAAGATCAGTATCAGCCTTCCAGCTTTTGCCAAGCATTGATGTTGAACTGGGGACGGGGGATGCATCTTCTTGCTTTCCCCTTGTTTGGAAGTCGGTCTGAGTCGTCGGCATGTTGCTGCCCGCCACTCCAGGTGGCTCATCACCCCGGCGTTCTCCCAGGCCCCCACAGGCAGATACGGTAACATAGTGTTGGCTCTGGCACGCTCCGACAAAAAAAATTGGTTCCAGTTGCACACAGGGTCCCGCCAACGGAGCCTCAGCAGAGCGTCAGGTGGCTGGTCAGCTGCACTCTCAGCTTCACTACATTGGCCTTCAGAGCAAACCTAGTCCTGCGAGTAGCCTTGGTTTTGCCAACGTTGTGTCCGATTGTATCCACACCAGCATGCGACGGGCATACTTCGTAGAATAAGCTGTCACGTGTCAAGCGCGAAGCCACTCAACCGAGGAGCTTGAATCAATTTGAATCAATACAGGCATCCCGAACTGGGCCGCAAAGACAGACATACGCTTCAGGCAGCCTTGTCAACCATCTTCTGGGTTCAGGCAGGCGCCAGCTGACGGAGCGAATCACAGAAGTTAGATTTTGCTCTTTGCTTCCATTGAACCGTCACTCGGAGCAGGAATGGCGAAAGAGTTTGTTGTAGCCGCCATTGCAAGCAAGACAGCACCGTGTAGCTACGTGGCCCGAAGTGCGAGCGCTGGGGGACAGCCCTCCTCTTCCTCAGTGGAAGGCAGACATTCGAAACGTGGTGTGTGTGTGTGTCTGCAGCCATTCCCGCAAGAGCATGGTTTGAAGATGACATGAAGCTTTCATGGTGTTTAGATTTTGTTTGTCCTGGCATGCAGGAGATGGACAGATCCTCGTTGAACAAAGCCACCAGCGCCGATGACACTCCCACGCCAGGATACTTATATACAGAGACACTCGGCTTCACCCGGAGCGTCAGCGTAGAGCCCCGCTTAGTCCGGAATTTGTCGAGCCAGCAAGCGTCTCGTGCTCTGGTCGTGCTACTGTAGTTGAGCTGCGCTGAGGATAGCACAATCAACTTTCGCTGACTTGAACGCATGCCAGCAGTTAGCAGACTACTTGCTGAAGAAGTCGCTCGGCGGTCATGGCTTGGATCTTTATGCACTTCTGTCATTGGCTGGTACTGCGATTAGTGCGCAGCACAACACTGTCGGATGCTGTCGGCCTGTCAGGTTGGAAAAAGACAATCCCCATGTGAAACTGAAATGCTTGAAGATCATCAAGCATGCGGCTCACCTGCACAGGTCTGCTGAGCTCCAGGTGTATGCACACCTGTAGGCTATGCTGGAGGAGGTTGTGGATCTCAGTCAGTGCACCTCTCAGGTATGCGAGCAGGGGAAACCCGAATTCAAACGCGCAGTTCAGAGAAAGGCAGCCCGACCTGATCGTGACTATTGCTCTAGTCCCACAGATTTCAACGCTCCGCTGTTCGAAAGTCAAAGGGTTGGGAAGAGGCCAAGCGTGCGCTTGGCACAATAACAACAGACAATGCACTTCGCTGTTGCTGGCGCAATAACATCTCGCATGCATTTCGTACGGGCATCAGAGTGCTAGCAAGAGCCGGAGGAGCCACGGGAGTCGACCTGTGCAGGTAATTTCGTGTGACGCTGTGTGCGTACACCCTGAAATCATTCCTGTGTTGTCAGGCAGACGTCGTGAAAGCATGCTTGCAATTTCGGGGTACACCGGATCCATTGAAAGGCGTGGACAGTGTCGCGAGCAATCCTCGAGCCCGGGATTATAGGGCGACTGAAATTTTCTTTCGAGGCGATGCCCCGAACAAAGCTGTGCGGGAAGAAGCCGACTTGGCCGTCAAAGCCGTGTTCAGCTCCCGAGCTGAAGTAGAAAGAAATCGAGTCTGAGACACTCCGCTTGTTCCGTCAGCTCTGCTCTCCCGCTGCCAAGGCTCCAATGCATCGCTGAATGCGTACGGCTTTAGCACTGCACAGGGCAAGAAGATGCAGGGTTTCGGCAGCGAGCCGAGTGATGACATTAGCAGCAGGACCGGGGCGGGGGTGTAGTCTCGAAGACCAGGTGTGAACGAGGATGACAAAAGCCGACAGGTGAAAAAGGCAGACAGACAGAGACAGACAGACACAGCATCAACGTTTCACACCGTTCAAACGAGACGTGGACCCTTGCGCCGCGCAGGGGTTGGGGACCCGCTTCCCCCGCCCTAAACACCGAGCAATCAAGACAGACAGACAGAATCAGACAGAGACGTGCAGAAGGCCGAAGAGACAAACCATGGACATACAGCATAGACAAACAGAGATGGAGAGGGAGAGAGAGAGAGAGAGAGAGTCGCGCGAGCAGACATGTACGCGCACATGCACCTGTAAGTTTATCATCATGGTAACAAACTGCGAAACTTGATGGTGATGATACTGATGGTAAGGACGCTGCATTGGAACTTGTGGGACCCTTCAGCCAAGTAAAGAATGATAATTACACAGAACAGATGATATGATGCATAAGGGTTGAGGTTTCTGCCCCCGGCATCAGACACTTGAAGTGATGCAGCATGCAATGGTATGAAGGTGGACTAGGATATGAGTCCAGGCTCCACAAGCTCTCCGCAAAGCAGATCCATGAGCCGGTGCGCTTGCCTGGGGAGGGTGGGGGATGGCTGCCCACCATACCCGCCAAGTCCCCTGGCGCGAAGCAGATGTACAGAATGACCCCCGTGACAGCAGGGAGCAGGGGACGAAGTGCAGGTTCCTATGGGCCAGCAACCAGACTCAAGAAGAAGAAGACCTACCACATCCATGGGGACCAGAAAAGAGAATGTAACCTTTCACTTGCAATAGTCACTAGTCGACAGACCGACAGCGAATGACTTACCCTAACAGGCCCGAGCAGCAAGCACATGGCACCCTGTGCACATCCCGCTCTACACATTGCCAACAACTGCTGGATTGCCAGTTTGAGGTTTCCAATACTTCCGATGCCACCGAATGTGGGTGACAAAAAGCCACCGAATCGATCCTTAGCGCTCGCCCAACACTGAAGCAGGCCCCAAGTGAGCTGCGCATTCCCGGGCAGACGATGCAAATCACATCGTTCATGTAAAACAAACCATTCGAAAGTTGAAATCAACGACTCTTTTCATCATCCAAGATTAGGAGAGTACTGGCGCTCCAACTGCTCTTGTCTAGCCGTGCTTGCAAGGTTACAGCAAAGCATTCGGCCTTGTGTTTGCCGAGTGAGCGTTGGGCCACTGGAGCCTCTTCTTCCTTCAGCTTCGCGATCCCAGATGTTATGCCATGAGTTGTAACTTTCATCATAAAGTACTTTCATGGTCCACTCTGACAATTTGACTCCATTCCCTTCGGCCACGATTCGATTCGAGACATTTCGCGACCTGTCAACAAGCCGCAACTCCAAACTTCACTAAGAGCCCAGACCGAAGCAATTGATCGTGCAAAGTCTCTGCGAGCCACGAGGATACAATTCAACAAAGCACGTCTGAGCTTTCTTTTACCTTCGTCACCAAAGTTTTTTTGTGTTCGCAGTTTTTTTCGTAAGTACCCTGGGTGCGACGAGGACCCCCTCAGGCAAGGCTCGCCGCGATGGGAGTTCACGTGTTAACTTGATCATGTCCGTTCTCGTTGGTGCATTAGGGATGACAACTGGGTCAAGCAGTCTGCACCAAGTGCGTTGTTTCTGCGTGAAACCAAGTGGAGCCGCCCTGTTCTTCACAGGTTGACAACGAAAGTATCACGCCTTCGAGAGAGAAGTACTGCACGGGTGAGAGGGATGACCTCTACAGTCCTTGCTAAAGTGCTCCGGCAATGCAATCCGAAGCTTCCTGGAAAAGTGAGAAGCCGTTTGTCAAAGTCCGAAAGAGCTCTCAGATCGACTCATTCCCACGTCATTCGCAGCCACGCAAAATTAACCAGACGTAACATTCATCCCAGTGTCTCGTGACTTGCGTGCGTATTTGTCAAGGTCCGTGCGCAAAGTCGGGTGCAATTCTTGACGCATACCAAAGTATGGCTTCTCTCCGTCTCCACGGGAGGTGCTCACATCTTCACACACCAGCAAATACAAAGAAACAAGCAAGCAACCAAACAAGAAAGCATACAGGGGCACATGCGCACGCACGCACATAGACGTCGTTCTCTTTCTCTGTCTCTCTCTCTCTCTCTCTCACTCCCGCCCTCTCTCCAAGCATGCATCCGGACTCTCTAGCCTAGTGCTTCCCATCCTTTTGCGTCGCAAATCTCAGAGGCTCGTACGTGTCTCTCCGTGTCAGGATAGGGAATTTGCCATCAAGCTTCAGCGGAGCCGCTCCTGCATTAGTTTCGCACAAGCCTGTGGCATGTGCTTCATGTGCACGACGCTGAGACAGATGCGCCCTTTGTGCAGCGAAGGTGGCGGAAGCAGTTTCGAAGGCGGTAACTTTGGTAACAGTGGTGGCAAGTCATTTGGTTCAGGACTGATGCTGAACAAATCGTCGGCGCATGTTTCCGCCGTCTCCACGCGAGACTTGCTTTGCCAACGCCTTCCACCAGGAGGGATGGTGGGGTTCGGCAATCCGAATTTTGACAATGCCCCGAAAGACGAGAAGGATAGCGCCGGCACCTTGGAACGAGTCCTTGCGGAACGTGAGCAGTTACTTTTCAGAGCTAAGGTCTTCAACAAAGCCATGTCCAGCACGATGTCTGCAGTTTCCTACCTGCAATCCAAAGTTACCGGAGCTCCGAACTCCACCCCGTCGTTCCATTCCTCATCTGACAGCACTTACAGACCGCCACCAGTAGGCGGGGGCTTCGGCAGCAACCAGGGAGGGGGCTGCGGTGGAGGCTGCAGTGGAGGCTATGGTGGCGGCTATGGTGGTGGCTGCGGAAGCGGTGGGGGGAATTATAGCAGCCCCAGCTACGCAAGTGGAGGGGGTTTTAATAGCAACAGCCACCATGCAAACCAGGGCCGCCGTTGGGGTCATCATCCACCTAGAGAGGAACCAAAGGAGGAGGAGCAGCCGGAGCCTGCAAGGGAAGAGCCTCCGAAGCCACCAGCGCCGATGGTGGACCTATTGGACATGGATGAGGTCTCATGCTCGGTGTTGCTGGCGCTTCACCTTTCCGCTTGCAGTGCGCATCCGAGGCAGCGCCGGCTGCAGCTGTCGGCTCTCTCCTAGAAGATGAGGATCGGAGTCTCCCCAGCATCTCGAGCCTTTTCCGGGTCGATGCGCTGCTGCTGCAGGCACCTGCCAGACAACCAGCAGCCTCTGGATCTCAGGACAGATGTTCCAACCACACAGCAGCCATCCGCAGTGTCAATATCGGTACATAGAAGGAGCCGAACGCTTGGCCGAAAAGCCTTACCAGCCTACAGGTGAAAGGAACAGTGCCTCCAGGTTCGCAACCACTGAGGCCAAGCCTTTCACTCCGATGTCGCATAGCTAGTTGATGCTTGGATTCCAACTTGCACTTTTAAGCTCATTGATGGTTGGCCTAGCCGTTTACTCAGCGCAAGGATCTCCTGGGTGGCGAGCTCCTGGGGATGGAGGGCCCTTCTGCCGACGGTGCATAGAATGTGGTTGCTGTAGCTTTAGTTTCTGCCAAGGCTCGATCTTTGCTTGCAGGTGCTCCCTCGTTGCAGCCTGTCTCTGAGGGCCAGGCCCCACATGCATCACATGCATCACAGTGTGAATTCACTCTTCTTGTAGCAGCATGTAGCAGCGACACGCGGACCTTGGAAAGCGTGCAGGGTGGCTTGTTCTCCGGCTTGGAGGTTTCGGGCACGGGCGGGCCTGCCCCTCTTGCTGGTGCAGGCACACAGTTTCCATTCTGCGTAGAGCTCCGATCGACTGTTGCCGTTGCGTTCTGGCAGGTGCCGCAGCAGGCAGCACGGCAGCCTGTGGGGGAGGTGGGCTCAGCATCATGGGAGGTGGAGCTGCAGCCGGTCCAATGGGTGCCTGCTCCGCAGCAGCACAGCCACCCGGCAATGCCGGTATGTTAGGTGGCATGATGGGTGGTGGCTCTATGCCGAGCACATCGATGGGCGGGATGATGCCAGGTGGTGGCCAGCAGATGCCCTGCATGGGCAGCTGTGGGATGAATGCGCCCATGGGTGGGCCAATGGGCGGTCCCATGGGTGGATCGATGGCACCGAGCATGGGTTGTGGAATGGCAGGTTGCAACACCATGGGCATGTGTGGCGGCTGCAACATGATGGGACCGGGCCCCATGGGTTGTGGCCCCATGGGTTGCGGCATGCCAGGTTGTGGGCCCATGGCAGGACCGGGCATGGGTATAAATCCCATGCAGGGTGGTATGCAGCAGATGCCGCCGCAGATGCAGCAGCAAATGCAGCCACAAATGGCGCAACAGCAGATGCAGCATCAAGCTTACATGCCACCCTCTGGTGCACAAGCACCATACCAAAACGGTAGCGTACCCATGTCAGGGATGAGTCTGGGCCAGATGTCCAGCCCTGCTGGAGGGGGGGGCTCTGCCTTCAGCTTTATTGGTGGTGGCAGCAGCTTGTCACGGATTAGGCAGAAGCATGCCGAAGAAACTCAGTTGGGGCAGCTGAGCTTGCAAAGTCATTCGCCTACCTATTCACCTAGTCGACAGCAGCCGCAAATCTGTGAACACAGGCTTTGATTTGGAACACAGGAGATTGGCATAGGCCCCGTAAGAATGCAGACTCGCTCCGCCAACTCAGGTCCGGCACTGGCACCGGTGTCGCAGGCACCGGCAACCGACCTTGCCTTCAGCTTCGTCGCTGACGAGCCACACGTCCGCAAAGCCACAAATCTCAGCTGTCAGATGCGAAGACATTCGCGACATGTTGCAACACGCTATCACCTGGTGGTGAGTCTTGAGCACATTCAAGGATGAAAGGCGCAGGAGCCGTGAGCTGATGACTTCTTGTGACTGCCAAAAATGTGCAGAAGGCATCACAGTGTTAACACTTGGGGACGCCGTCGCAGGTCTTCAAGAGACCAGCTTCAGGAACGGACCATGCTCAATCACTGGCAGACTACTCATCTGATGTCGCTAAGTGCTGCTGCCCTCGAGCTCAGCACCAGCAATCAGACACGTCTAGACTAGAGAAATCAGAACCCGTGAGTCTGCCAGGTGTCTCAACCAGATACAAATCTCACTGAACATATCTTTTGCACGTTGATTGTGCTGATTCAATCGCAGCACATTCGGAGAGCACACTTTTATCAGGGCTGCAAATTCAAACCCATTACATAATTATGTCACCATGGCACAGTCATAAGAATAGACAGCCGCACCATGCATCTGCCGCCTCATTACACCGCAGCAAAGATCGACAAGACTCATGTGCAGCGAAGATTCGCGAATTGGCGAGACGATTGCAGACAGGTCTTAGCAAATCTCCTGCACCTCGATTTTCGATGCCACGACGGCACATTATGTACATGTTTTGCCGGCAGCAAGAGCCAGGCGGCAAAAAGGAGAACGTGAGGATGTGCGCGCTGGCTTGCTTTGTATCTCCGTGTGCTTTCGCGGGTGCATATAGGTCAAGGCATCGTTGCAGGGATCGTGAATTGAAACCCCAAGCGTCGTAGGCCTAGCACAGCATAGCATGCCTGTCTGTTTCTCTTGCCGGGATTAACTCTGCCGGCCCACTTTCCTCCCTCGTGCCTTCTATCTTCTCCCTCTCCGCCCTCTGCCCTCACCCTCCCGCGCTCTCTCCGTTCCGTTTCTCTTGGTCCCTCTGTCTCCGACTCCGCTTGTCTTCAGCGGCGCGATGCACAACACTGGATGCAGCCACTGGCAGAGATCGGAAGTTTCGGTGCATCTGTGCCAGCATCCCGAAACTTTGCACATGACGAGTTCAGGCTCCACGCCTCACCGCGCTTGCCATCAGTTGCTGCCGGTCGTGGTGGCGCTTTGGGCTCAGGCGTTTTTGCCGTACACTTTCCGTGTACTTCCAGCTATCGGATTCCGGAGACGAGCCGTTGAAGTTCTCTAAGGAGAGCCTGCAGAGTCCGGACAGGGCCAAGCTTTCTGCAGCAGCGCAGCAGTCATCGTGCCATTTGCGCACTCTCGCATGACGCCAGCGTGAAACAGTATGAGTCGAGAATGGCTACGAGGTACTCGGACCCGCTCCAGTCCCGCGTTGTGGAGAAGGACTCCCGGCAAGCTGAGCTGATGCGCAGCCGCGCATTGCCACAGCATCAAGCTTTCTACAAGCCGCCATGAAGTGGGAGAGCCTCACGTAGTGTCAGATGCCACGAAAGCTAGCTCTGTGGAGTTTTGCTTGAGCTACCAGATCCAAAACGCAGGCAGGAGCTTGTCTGGTCGTTTAACAGTTTAACAACAGTTAAGGTGGGGCTGCCTAAGTGCTTGAGGTTAGCAGTTTCAATTGCTTATGTGTTACTGGCCACAGTGAGTACCACAAATGGAAGACGAAGTTATTGCTTTGTTGCACACATCGGCCTAGCTGTTGCGTTTTCTGATAAGTTACATAGGGTGAGCCATGTGTTGCAGTTGCACTCACAGCTCCGTGTTGCGGCTGTTGCGCCGCCGGTTTAGAGTTGCGTGGGGTGGATTGGCATGTTCGACCCTGCGAACATGCCAGCAGGTTTCTGCTTGTGTTGCTAATAGAATTCGCGGCAAGCGTCAGCATTTAGCACAGACCGGAAGGACTCAGGACTACTGAGCACGTCACTGGCAATATGTCCTAGGAGGCAGAAAGCTGGTTGGCATGTGGCAGCAGCAACCCCAACACAGCCAGGAAAATATTTGATTTGTGCGTGATAATAGCAAGCTTCCGCCAAGCTCGGAGCGATTCGCAGTGCTGTCCTACAATTCCTTCCCCTAGCTTTCGTGCGCCTGTTCAGGATCCTTCAGATACGGAGTTTCTGCAGGGAGCCTGGGCCGGACGAGGGCTGCTTGGTTTAGGGCAACCTTAGAGCCTTGTCGTCGTGTTTCCAAGAATACAGGTAAGCAGAAAAATTCGATCGTTTCCCTCTGAGCAAAGGAGCATAACGGCATAAACGAAACAGAAGCGAAGCCGCCGGGATTCAAGACGATGCGAGTACTGCGAGGCTGGAGCTCCTGGAGTCTGCAGGCTGCGACGCGGAGGTAGCGACCCTCACACGATTTGCAATAGTTCATGAAGAGCTTAGACTTATGAACTGCCATGACATTACGCGGCATTCTTGGCCAAGGAGTTGGCTGTGGAAGAGCATGTCCCCCAGCTGTTCAGAATATGAAGGCGACAACTGTTGATGCAAATCGGCTTATGCCTATTGTCACCGAAGGCGGCGGCTCGAATTGAAGCCAGATCCGGAAGGCCCGTAGGAGCGTTCGAGCTTCAAGCATCGTCGTAGTTGGAATTTTGGTTATCCTCCCGATTCGCGGCGCTTGAAAACCGCACATGTCGCCAAAGACTCCAAAACGTTTAAACCCGGGTTTACAACTTATCCTGACGGGTGAAGCCGATCCGATGCTCAGTGCAGCATAAGTATACATCACGTGGGCACAGCCCTGCATGCCCCGGTGGCTGCCGGGCGATACAGAGCCATCTTGCTGTTTGGCATTGATCTCCCTCCTGGTTAGCGTGGTGATGGTTGGGGCCGCCTCCGACCAACGTTACGTTTGAGTAATCGTGAGAGTCGCTGGAGAAACTTCGATCCCACACCAGTGCTCCAAAGCCCCACGGAGCAGCTTGCACAGTAGCCACCTGGTCATTCAAAGCTTGCTGGAGTCGCAATGATGCTGCCACCACCGGTCCAGGTCCCCCCAGGTTGGGAGGTTTGTCCGAGAGTTGACATTACCTCGTGCATCGTTCCTGGGCATGCGCCATTGCAGGAAGTTACGCCATGAGCAATGGCGGCGCCGATGACGTTGATAGTGACACTTACAAGCGTTCATTGGCCCCCCGTTGTTTGCACAGCTTGTGACTTATGAAGCACCAGTTGGTGTACCATCATCATGACAGGTGGCCAGGGAGGCCGCCTTGCAACTCGAGTGTCCACCTTATCTTCTGGGAGATCTTGATATCAGTACGGCAGAAATATGGGATTTCACACGCACGGGCGAGTTTCGAGCTTCCAAAAATGGCCTACCTACATGACTGCTGCGAGGTGGGAAGGCATTGGCAAAGCCGTTTTTTCGAAGCATGGCTCCCGAACTCACAACAGCCCAAAGCCCAGCTGCGACAGCCTGCAAGTGCTTTCTTGCCTAGGGATTTCGGCATGAATAGATCGGAGCGTCATGATTGAGTCAAAGCCCAGGCGAGCTTGCATTTCGCGGAGCGCGCTGCAGGCCATGACAGGGCCCGTTCTGGAAGAGGGTGGCAACTCGACCGTCTTTTGTGAGATCTCTTGGTCAAGAAGTGGCGGAGATGCTTCGACCACAGTGGTTTGTGTGCAGCAATTGAGGTTTCTGCACCATGTCTGCAACAGCTTTGCAATTCCCCAGGCCACCATACTTGCAGAAGGCTCAAACCCATTGCATTGAGCCCGGCATCCGCAAGCAGATGCGTGGGGGCCTGTGGTCTTCGCTGTGGCCATTGCTGGCCTAGGCTCGTGGATGCCATTCCGCTTCAACGAGGCCACTCTTCTCCGTTCTGTACCTACGAAGATCTGCACGACTTGTCGCTCTTACTCATAGGCAGCTCGACCTCCCTGAAATCGGGAGCGGAGATCACCTTCAGATACGAGATGCATGTCTGGGACTGGGCTTCTGTGTGACGAATCTGCGCGAGTCAGAGTGCCGCACTTGCAGGTTTCGCGAAGTTTAGGGCCTCGCAGAGGGCGTGTGCGCGCGCACACATGGCCAAGGTGTTGCTGCGGCTGCGCTTCGCTGCACAGACCCTGGCGGAAATCTTTGCACTTCTTGAGTCGAACTCCGGACACTAACGGATCACAGCGCGGTACGAAGCACTAAGCAGAAAGGCGGTTGGGAATTCGCTGCTCATGCCTCCGCCGTGGAAGGCTCAGTTTTTGGACTGCCTGGCATGGCCTTCAAGTCACAAGACGGCCCGTCTACGTCCGTGACAACGGGCTCATTGTTGTGATGTGAATAAGGCCGCGCTTTCCGTCGCAATCGGGACCTGTCAGAGCCACGAGCCGAGGAAGGGGTTTTCAGCTCCCAGCATGTTCTTCGAAAATCCTGCAAAGGCTTGGTCAGATGGTGCCATGGTGCCGCCAGGCAGCAGACTGGTGCAAAGCAAGCTATGACGCAGAGTTTTTTTTCTTCATGGCATTCGAGGCCGCATGGAAGAAAGCTACGTTAGTTCCCGCCGCAGCCACCGTTCTGCACGAAAGCATCATGCTAGGGCGAGCAGGCCATCACAAGGCCACAAGCTGAACAAGTGCGCCTATGTTGCAGGGCTTGCTTGCTGAGAATTCGCCGGCTCCACGAAGATGCCCAGTTGCAACATTGATGCACGAAACCGCTACACATCGAGAATCCGACAGTGCAAGCAGTGGCAAGAAGCCATTTGGCTATTCAGTCGCCTGGCCCCGAACAGTCTACGGGCAGATGAAGTTTCCTATGGGTCTTTGATTTCTGCATGTGGCAAAGGAGGCCAGTGGACCCTGGCCACAACTTCGCTCAGAGCAGCTCGCTTACAGGGCCTGCAAGAGGACATCATTTCATACAACTCTGCGATTAGTACATGTGGCAAAGAATTTGAGTGGAAGGACGCCATTGGCGAGCTTGCAGCTGTGGCATTGAGGCAGTTAGAGGCGGACAGGATATCTTTCAATTCTGCCATCGGTGCATGCGGCCAAGCCGGTCATTGGGAAAGCGCTGTTACTTTGATGGACAAGCTTGTTCGCAAATTCCAGGCGAATGTCATCACAATGAATTCCGTTATAAGTGCATGTGCCGAACCCGGCCAGTGGCAAGCAGCTCTCGTCACCCTGGTACACCTAGAACTTGGACGGATAGAGGCGGACATCATTTCCCACAATTCGTGCATGAACGCGTGTAGCAAGGCCAGCCAGTGGCAACTAGCCTTAAGCATCCTGCGAGGGCTGCAGGTCCTGGGCTTGCAAGCCAACGTCATCTCATATGTGTCGGCCATCGATGCATGTGACAGAAGTTTCAAATGGGAAGAAGCTATCGCTGTGCTGGAGGAACTGACCCGGAGCAACCTGAAAGCTGAGACCATGTGCTTTAACTCAAGCATAAGCGCATGCGCGAAGGCGCACCAGTGGCAGTTGGCTCTGGAACTAATACAGACACTTGAAGTTTCCGGGCTTCGATCGAACACGATCTCCTTTAACTCTGTGATGAGCGCCGCTGGTGATGCAAGTCTTTGGCAGATGGTATTGTCCTTCATGCCGATGCTTTCGCAAAGGCATTTGATGCCTGACATCATCTCCTACAACTGTTGCATGAACGCATGTGGACGTGCAGTGCAGTGGCAGCTAGCAGTACACTTTCTCGCCAAGATCGAGAGTGCGAGGCTTAAAGCGACTGAAATATCCTTCTCTTCAGCTATCAGTGCCTGTGAGTATGGCCTGAAGTGGCAGATGGCCGTTTGTCTACTCAGTCTCATGGACTTGCGGCGGCTTTGGGCAAATGTGGTCGTGCTGAATTCAGCGATTAGTGTCTGCAGCCAAGCAGGGAGCTGGCAAGCAGGACTGTCGCTTCTGGCTGAGATTCGGCACCGGCACCTGCAGCCGGACCTGATCTCCTTTAACTCTGCCATTGCAGCCTGTGTCACCAAAGCCCAGTGGCAAGTGGCAGTGTGCTTGATGGCTGAGATTCAAGAAAGCCGGCTGCAAGCGGATGAAGTTTCATACAACACGTTGACACTGGTCTGCGCAGCCCGAGAATGCCGGGGAGGGCAGTGGCACTCGGCTTTGTTTCTCCTGGCTTTGATGGAAAGCCGGAGCATAGTGATCAAGAAGAAAACTTTCGAATCCGTCATTGATGCCTGCATGTGGGCGGGGCAGCGGCCAATGGCGCTGCTTTTGACGGACGATTTAGAGACCAAAGCGAGACACTGGCTGACGAAGGGCATGGACAAAACAAGTCACAGGGTAGCTTATGCAAGCGCTCAATGTCGAGAGGGGTGGCGAGTTAGTCTGCCTACTTTGGTCGAGAGCCCCATGCTGTTGACTTGTTTGTCTGTCAGGTGCAGGCGTCCTTGCCGAAGCCGTGGACAGGTGCCTTGTGGCAAGCTTGCGGCTTGCGGGCGACTCGAACGGCATACACATTGCGTGCAGAGGCCAGGGGGCACGCTGGGCGATGCCGAGCAGGTGCGCAGACACGAGCAAGTGGGCTCAGTGCCTCCATCAGCTGTTGAGCTGCCATTGGTCAAATGTGCCAGCCAAATGCTTTAGCGGCTGTATATGCTTGTCGAAGCACTCGAGGAGGTATCCTTTCTTGAGAATCCTACTCCGACAGAAAGTATATGTACAGAATCGAGGAGCAGGTGAGGGGATTGCACAGCGCGGGTTGGAGGCCAAGGCGAAAGAAGGTTGGGCAGCTTGGGCACAAAAGCAAGCCCAACATTGCTAGATGAGCCGACCGCTGCTGAATCAGAAAGGTAGTGGCAAGGACGCCCTCTGCATTCCTCGTGTCGCAGCAGCAGCTCAGCTATTTTCACACGTCGGAGAACAGAACCAAACAGGAACCAAACCCTTCTCAACAACTTGCCTATTGCGGCGATCAGCTATCCCTTCAAGGGCGCTGTAGTGCTGCCAGAATCCTTGGTGTCCTGATGTGCAACATCCTGAAGCAAGCCTGGCACATCCCTGGCCGGATTCCGTGGTTGTCTTCCGGAGCGCAGTGTTTGCATTGTTAGTGCACAAATCCTTTCGCCGTGTGTGCCAGCAATTGGGTTGTTGAGCTGGCAACTGTACACTCAGAACAGCATGTCATACCCTGCACGCTGCTGCAAGTGTGGCACTCATTTGCTAGCAGTGCTGTTGTTGTGAAATTTCTCCTCGCGCTGCCTTGACATCGAAGGCCTTGACATCCAAAAGCACAGTCTTCCAACTGACCTGCAAGACAGCAAAGGCAGCTGCCGCACAGAGTGACAGTTGTACCCACCTGCTACTGCCTGGAGCCAGCGGCAGGGCTTGAGCGAAGAGTACTTTGCGGTGAAGACCTCAGGAGTTGTTCAGGAAATAAAGTGTTCGCAAGCGCTTATCACAAGTGGTGCGTGACTTGCTGAGTTGCGAATCCGCTATTTGCTATTTTGCAAGGCTGCTTCCGGAAGCGGGGCGTGCATCCGCAAAACGTCTTCAGGTCAAGACGCCTCCAGCTGCTCCGCTCTCCTGCCAGGCGCTCCCTCGACTGCACCATGGCCCGACTAATGGAATGTGGTCACAACATCGAAGCTGAAGCCGAAGTGCTGATGGAATCAGCCGAGCCAGATGCACCGGCCCCTCGAGCATCAACAAGGACTTGGGCCGTCTCTACACTACTCCTCGTGGCTCTTCTGGCAACAGGTCTCCTTTACGGCGTCTCCGGGCACGCCTTCACTTTGAGGGGTGCTCCGGAGCAAGTCCTTGGCTTCAGCGGCGATGGGAGCTTCACTTGTGGCCAAATGAGATGCACACCCGGCTCGATCTGCTGTGGTGGAACCGAGTGCTGCTCTGCCGGCTCAGAATGCTGCGGGGGGACCTGTCTTGCCGCTGGTGGGATCTGCTGCCGCAATCGCACAGATACTCCTTTGCTCTGCACTCCTGGCACCATTTGCTGTGGCAAGGAGACAGACACGGCCCAATGTTGCACAACTGGTTGTGCAGATGGCCCTTTCGTGGCTTGCAAGCTTGAAACATAGGCGACACCGTGGCACCTTGAAACAGATCGAAGTCTGCACTCAATGTAGTGCTTGCTTCTCGCTAGACTTGTATCAGTTGCCACTCCACGGGCAGCCATCCTGGTTCTTCTAAAGCTCGTATTCTCAGAATAGGTCAGAGTAAGATGGTCCTGCTACAGCAATAATTCACTGACCACTGGGCTGCTGCTCACTGCTGCCGCGAATGCTCGGCAGATGGGAGAGCAGCCTGGGGCACTTGGACTTCAGTCACTTGCTCATCTTCGAAGGAAAACTTGCAGGACACGTGGGGGGAGCAGGGAACGGCTGACTTCTGTCGGGTTGATCCGACCACGTCCGTTTCTTTGTGAGGCCTTGCCCAGCTCTCTGCGAAACGTCAATTTGCCTGGCACCCAGAAAAAATGAGGCATGATGGCCTTACATCCTAGTCGGTTGCCAGAACAGCCCAGATTCGGCACGGAAATCTGTAGACTGTAGCATGCAGCGAGACCACATTCACTGATTGGAATTGGAACAGGTGCTGTGTTCTTTGCTACTGCTGCTGCTTGTGATTGAGGCATGTAGGCCGCAACCTTATCGGACGACATTACCAGCAACTCTTTGAGGCACAGGGTACCACAGGGTGCCCTTGTGAAGACAGGAGCGGTGAAGGAACGCAGCATGTTCTTGAGGCGTCCCACACGCTTGTTTCTGCAGGCATTGCTGTGCCCTCTCGAGCGGCTGAATGTCACGCTGGCACACTCAGCCTTTGCAGCAGTGCGTCTGTTGCTGTAATGACTGTTATGCTCTCCCTGAGCCGAGGGCCTGCAGCTTCTGTATGTTTCTGCATGGCTCTCGAGTTTGGAGGCCTTGCCACCTTTGCCTCGACGTGATGCTTGAGCAAGACTTCGTGCAACTAACAAATCTCAGCCTGGGCCTTAGCATTACGGGAAGCCTTCACCGGCGAAGCTTGCACATTGACACAGCAATGCCAACTGAACCCGAGGCTCAACTTTGGAGATCTTTGTTGGAGAGGATTTGATGCAACTGCACACTGCAAAAACCAGCACCGATCACTGACAATCTTGTCAATTTTGTGCAGGAGCATGTGCCCAAAGATCGGACTGCCCATCTTCATGAGGGACAGGTTTCGGGCACAGCATGCAGGGCGGATGTAACGCGACACAGCAGTGTTTGCGAGACCACTCCTGCGGCTGATGGTGACACATTGTGCTAAACATGGTCACTAGCATGCACAGCTGGGAGGTGCTAACTTTTGCCAAGAGAGATGGTCCCGGGCACCTTGGCTGCCTTTATAGCGGCTTCACACAGCTTGTGTTGAATTTCGCAGTGCAGGGTAGTGCGTGTTCCATGTAGCAACTCAGCCAGACACTGGTTTTGCATGTCGTCTTTTCAGTACGCACCTTGTCCGAGAAGCAACCAAAAGTTACCCTGAACAAACATGTCAACTCTGCACACGACGTCCCTTCGGAGAACGAAGCGAGCTGACCAGTTCTCTGCCGCGCTTTCAGCACCACATTTAAGTGGAGTTAGCACACCTGTTAGCACACCTGCGAGCGGTGCATGACGAAACTGGCACTGCCAATAAGACCAAGCATTGGATCTTTACGATGTGTCACAACGTTGACCGTCCCGATGATAAACGGAAGGACATCACAAACTGCATCACGCATTGGCGCGATCAAATTCCTTACTATCCTGCCTGGGATCTTCCTTCTTGATCATGACCTGTGCAACCCTGCGGCCATGCTGAGGTTCCTCCAGCTGCTGTTGTTTCAGGCCGGTCTTGCTGCCTGCGCCGGACTCTGTGAACTAGCTGGAAGCACTGGGCCGAGCCTTGCATCACAACCGCAGTCCACAGGCTACGAGACCAACCAATGTGGCAGAGTTCGCACCTGAGCTGCTGTTTCTCTTTTGGAGTTCTCGCGGCCCAGGCGATTGAAAAACGTTGCACGCAGTACTGGAGCTTGAAATCGTTATACTGACTGAGTGTGGCCGTGCCGCTTGATCGGATTGCATGCAGAAAGGAAGCAGTCTCCACCTCAGATCCGATCAGGCCACCCGTCTCGATAGCGGCACCAGTCTCAGCGGAAGAGACCCGGCATGTAGTCTTCGAAGCAACCTCATTTGCAGAGTCTGGCAGAGGTGGCCGGTAAAGCACAGCCCCAACCTGAGATCGGCAGCTATTCCACCGAGCAGATTTACCAGCATCGCCGCAGTACGAAGCCGGAGTGTGCGATATTGGTTCGATGCCGAATGCGCGGCTTGCAAGTCTTCTGACATGTTGATTTTGGTGCCGGAGCGCCTCACATGTCACAGCTTGTTTCCCCCGACGGACACTGTAGGCGAAGCTTTATGACCGCTTTAGCTGCGAAATGCCACCCAAGCCCGCCATGCTACTTGTTTTAACAACTTCTCCAATGCTTCAGCTCACATCCTCGCAACACGCTTCGAAGAACTACATGATTGTCGGGATACGCTGGCTTGTTGACTGGACCAGAACAGCATGGAGCCAACATGAGACATGCAGTGGGCCGGCAAGCAGTTGAAGCGCTTCTTCCAGCCCAAGCAACTGAGCTGCAGAAAGCCATCCAAAGATGGAGAGAAAAAGATGGAGAGGATCAGAGTCGTAGGGCACCTGGCCTGGAGCAGTTCCGACTCTGCTCCCAGGCCGGCTGATGAAGTCTCTCCTCGCCGCACGACGGCCGAGGTCCCCCTCTTTGCATGGGCATGCATTCAATGCCATGCTGACCGCGATGCCTCAACGATTCCCCTCCCGAGGCTCATCCACAGGAGTCTCGAACAAAGGGCCAGCTGAAAGAAGAGGCAAAGGGCCCGCTTCAGCCATCGCATCTCTGCAACTGCACCCAGCAGTCTAGTCAGGCGGTGAGATTGAAGAGCCAACTTGACGCCTTGACTGCGGGACTGGAAGTCTCTGCCAGTTGGCGGCACCTCTGTATCGCTGAAGCAACCACCTGCGTGGATTGCATGTCCATGGCAGAACCTGAGGTTGTAAATGGGACTTGGGTTCAACGCTTCATTGATCTGCACCAGCAGCACCTGGAGACTCCTTGATGCATGCCAAGATGACCCAAGTGCTTATCAACCTCCTCCTGCTGCAAAGTCATTGCTGACCCAGTGCTCAGGATTGGCTGTCGACTGGAGGATGGCACCGTAAATGTGCAAGCAGAGGTCAAGCGGCTGTACCGCTTCGGCACTTATTATTATACTGTAAGGGTCTTGCGAGTAGTTTCTTTGTCAGGTGTTCCATGTGAATCCTGTTTTGGGTTTGTAGTTTCAATCATTAGAGACCTCCATGAACTGCTTTTGTTGCTTTCCTTTTATGAGTTCAGAAGCGTATAGCTGACAGCCAACTACTAGTAGTTTTCATTGCCTTTCCGGTAATGTCAGCTAAGCGGCTAAGCACCACGCTGTCTCGAGGCAGCACGTTTTGGCCCACTCCAAAGTTGTGGCGGCGCTGGACACACCAGGGTTGTACCGCGGACGGACTGGCCATTTAGGCCCTTGGACACTTCGTGCACTCACGGCAGCATAGATCACAGAGACTTCCACCGGGCAGGGCCTCCAGCACGCCGGACGGACGTTTTCAGCTCGAGCTACTCTACTAAAGATTACAGTCTCCGCTTATCTGGTTGGGTTCATTGTCACGCAGTATGTCGACTGAAGATTTTTGAAGCTTTTCTTGCAGACTTCTTGTGAATTTGATTTCAGAGCACTGTAGGTTTAGATGATGTTGCTTGGCTGCACATTCAATATGAGCAGGACTGCTGATGTTGTACCAGGGCATTGGCGACCGCCATCGGTGCTGCGACCGGAATAGAAACGCTGAATCCGCGCATGGTGCAATGGATGTGTTCGAGTCATGGGTCTAAGGACAGCGATGAGGCAGTGGCACGCGGGAGTTGCAAACCATGTGGTGTTCACAGTACCATGAGGGTCAGATATGTCACTAACACGAGCAGCACGAGATGCAACGCGAACCGAAGCTGTTTGTCATTTGTCGGCAGGTCCTGCATGGCGACCAGGCGAGACAAGGTCAAGCAGCGAGTCTTGATCAGCAGTTGGAGGTCTTGTCCGTTCTGACGGTGTGCTGATGTGTGCTGTGCAACGGCGCGATCCTGGTCTCCCGGATCTGAGGAAAGGTTCCGGCGAGGCTGCCGCCATGCATGGTTCTGGCATTGGCAAGCCTTTTTCCGATCAATCGCTTCATAACTGCTGATAGAATGGCCTTGATAACGGGTGCATATGTCAGGAGCCTTCGTGTGTTTGCTGAATCGTGTTGTAAAGTGCCAAAGGGACGAGCTTGTGGACACACACACACACACGCGCGCGCGCATGTGCACCGACACGCGCACTCCGCAGCCATTCGCGCCGAAGTCATGTTGCCCTGGCTGTCCACCATGTGCAGGATCACGACGACCTGGAGCGCTCGTATGATGCTTTCGACACTTTCCACGCACCAGGCAAATACACACAGCCCAATACTGATCCAACTTCAGGGCTGGGTTGCAGACCTGGGGTGATCGTGTGCTTCAAGGACTAAACATACATGTCACATGTCAATGGTGATTACGGGTACAGAAGCATCTGCCGTTTCCCTCGCGAAGGTGGCTCGTTTCAGCCGCCTTCGCGCCAAACCAATCAGGCATTGGTCTCCTGCCACCACGTAGCAATTCACAGCGAGGATTTGAGAGTAAAGACTTTCCACTCATGACCGACTGATCCGGCATCTTGGCAAATCAAGACACACGGTGGCAGGCTGCGAACCCTGGACGTGCGCAGGCAGTCGACCAAGCGGCAGCAGCACGCGCGGAAGCAGCGCGCAAAGTAGATGAGGAAGGGCTGGCCACAGAAGCCATTGAGGCAGCGGAAGCAGCGCGAAGAAGTGAAGAAGAACGCGTGGCCAGAGAGGCAGAGGAAGCAACGCGCAAAGCGGAACAAGAACGCTTGGCCAGAGAGGCTGAGGAAGTAGCGCGCAAAGCGGAAGAAGCACGTGTGGCCAGAGAAGCAGAGGAAGCAGCACACAAAGCCGAAGAAGAACGCCTGGCCAGAGAAGCGCAGGAAGCCGAGGAAGCAGCGCGCAAAGCGGAAGCAGAACGCCTGACCAGAGAGGCAGAGGAAGCATCACAGAAAGCAGAAGAAGCACGCTTGGCCAAAGAGGCAGAGGAAGCAGCACAGAAAGCACAAGAAGAACGCTTGGCCAGAGAAGCGGAGGAAGCAGCACAGAAAGCAGAAGAAGAACGCTTGGCCAGAGAAGCGCAGGAAGCAGAGGAAGCAGCACGCAAAGCGGAAGCAGAACGCTTGGCCAAAGAAGCGGCGGAAGCAGCACAGAAAGCAGAAGAAGAACGCTTGGCCAGAGAAGCGGAGGAAGCAGCACAGAAAGCAGAAGAAGAACGCTTGGCCAGAGAAGCGCAGGAAGCAGAGGAAGCAGCACGCAGAGCGGAAGAAGAACGCTTGGCCAGAGAAGCAGAGGAAGCAGCACGCAAAGCCGAAGAAGAACGCTTGGCCAGAGCAGCGCAGGAAGCAGAGGAAGCGGCACGCAAAGCTGAAGAAGAGCGCCTGGCCAGAGAAGCGGAGGAAGCATCAAAGAAAGCAGAAGAAGAACGCTTGGCCAAAGAGGCAGAGGAAGCAGCACGCAAAGCGGAAGAAGAACGCCTGGCCAGAGAGGCAGAGGAAGCAGCACGCAAAGCAGAAGAAGAACGCTTGGCCAGAGAAGCGCAGGAAGCAGAGGAAGCAGCGCGCAAAGCGGAAGCAGAACGCTTGGCCAGAGAAGCGGAGGAAGCAGCACAGAAAGAAGAAGAACGCTTGGCCAGAGAAGCGGAGGAAGCAGCACAGAAAGCAGAAGAAGAACGCTTGGCCAGAGAAGCGGAGGAAGCAGCACGCAAAGCGGAAGAAGAACGCTTGGCCAGAGAAGCACAGGAAGCAGCACGCAAAGCTGAAGAAGAACGCTTGGCCAGAGAGGCAGAGGAAGCAGCACGCAAAGCAGAAGAAGAGCGCTTGGCCAGAGAAGCAGAGGAAGCAGCAAGCAAAGCAGAAGAACAACGCTTGGCCAGAGAAGCGGAGGAAGCATCAAAGAAAGCAGAAGAAGAACGCTTGGCCAAAGAGGCTGAGGAAGCAGCACGCAAAGCGGAAGAAGAACGCCTGGCCAGAGAGGCAGAGGAAGCAGCACGCAAAGCAGAAGAAGAACGCTTGGCCAGAGAAGCGCAGGAAGCAGAGGAAGCAGCGCGCAAAGCAGAAGAAGAGCGCTTGGCCAGAGAAGCAGAGGAAGCAGCACGCAAAGCAGAAGAAGGACGCTTGGCCAGGGAAGCACAGGAAGCAGAGGAAGCCGCACGCAAAGTCGAAGAAGAACGCCTGGCCAGGGAAGCACAGGAAGCCGCACAGAAGGCTGAAGAAGAGCGCTTGGCCAGAGAAGCGCAGGAAGCAGAGGAAGCAGCACAGAAAGCACAAGAAGAACGCTTGGCCAGAGAAGCGGAGGAAGCAGCACAGAAAGCAGAAGAAGAACGTTTGGCCAGAGAAGCGCAGGAAGCAGAGGAAGCAGCACGCAAAGCCGAGGAAGAACTCCCGGCCAAAGAGGCAGAGGAAGCAGCACGCAAAGCGGAAGAAGAACGCTTGGCCAGAGAAGCGCAGGAAGCCGAGGAAGCAGCACGCAAAGCGGAAGCAGAACGCCTGATCAGAGAGGCAGAGGAAGCAGCACAGAAAGCAGAAGAAGAACGCTTGGCCAAAGAGGCAGAGGAAGCAGCACGCAGAGCGGAAGAAGAACGCTTGGCCAGAGAAGCGGAGGAAGCAGCACAGAAAGCAGAAGAAGAACGCTTGGCCAGAGAAGCGCAGGAAGCAGAGGAAGCAGCACGCGAAGCGGAAGCACAACGCTTGGCCAGAGAAGCGGCGGAAGCCGCACAGAAAGCGGAGGAAGCAGCACAGAAAGCAGAAGAAGAACGCTTGGCCAGAGAAGCGGAGGAAGCAGCACAGAAAGCAGAAGAAGAACGCTTGGCCAGAGAAGCGCAGGAAGCAGAGGAAGCAGCACGCAAAGCGGAAGCAGAACGCTTGGCCAGAGAAGCGGCGGAAGCATCAAAGAAAGCAGAAGAAGAACGCTTGGCCAAAGAGGCAGAGGAAGCAGCACGCAAAGCGGAAGAAGAACGCGTGGTCAGAGAGGCAGAGGAAGCAGCACGCAAAGCAGAAGAAGAACGCTTGGCCAGAGAAGCGCAGGAAGCAGAGGAAGCAGCGCGCAAAGCGGAAGCAGAACGCTTGGCCAGAGAAGCGGAGGAAGCAGCACAGAAAGAAGAAGAACGCTTGGCCAGAGAAGCGGAGGAAGCAGCACAGAAAGCAGAAGAAGAACGCTTGGCCAGAGAAGCGGAGGAAGCAGCACAGAAAGCAGAAGAAGAACGCTTGGCCAGAGAAGCGGAGGAAGCAGCACAGAAAGCTGAAGAAGAACGCCTGGCCAGAGAGGCACAGGAAGCAGCACAGAAAGCAGAAGGAGAACGCCTGGCCAGAGAGGCAGAAGAAGCAGCACGCAAAGCGGAAGAAGAACGCTTGGCCAGAGAGGAAGCAGCACAGACATCGGATCAGATTCTGCCAACCAAAGAGGGACACGGTGCAGCTAAGCTGGATGCACTGGCCCAAGATACTGCCGTCTTTGGGCCGGGGGCAGAGAAAACCCTGGCCGATGAAGTGCAGACTCATGGGCAAGCTTCCTTCGGGAAAGGTTCGACCATGCCTGAGGCAGCTGTTAGTTAACCAACAACGAAGCACAATGTTTGATAGCTTGGTGAGGCAGTCAGGCTACACGCCGCACAGCTTGACGCAGAGGAGGCTCAGCTACTGCTTGTTGTATCACTAGGTTGCTGACTGTTGTTGTGCTTCGAGGATTTGCTCGGTGGCCCTGATGTCTGCTCCCGGCCTGTGGATATCCTGGAGGCACTCATTCTAGCATTTCCAATGCACGCCACAATCGGCCACGAGTTGTGCCAGGATGTGTTAGGCCCCAACACGGCGACTGCCACTTTCGACCAGGATCTTCCTGACTGGACAAAGGCATTGCTCACTGCTGATTGGTTTTGTAATGTCTGCGTTTGGCAGGATGCGACTGGTGCCGGACAGCGACTTCCTGCAAGCCCCCCTCAGCCACAAGCAGCGGCTTGAGCTGCAGCCCAAAGATGTGCAGCGGTAGATACTTGAAAAATTTGTAAATATGGCATCTTGGCTTCCGAAGACACCTGACCTCACGTCGCTCCCACAGGAAGTGCCAGAAGCGAGTGCCTTGCCAGAGAAGCCGGTCACGCTGGCATTAGAGTCCGATGAGGAGGACTCGCGCACCGATGCCCAAAACCCTGCAAAGCTCAGCTCTTCAAGGTCTTTCCGTAGGCTGGCCATGACGAAGCATGTTACCACAGTCCAGTCCGGCTTCAGCAATAAGTCTTGAGTGGCACAGTGCGCACAGCTGCATATACGAGACAGGAGTGGGAGCCTCGGGCGATCTTGACAGGACCTCCTGGGTGGCACAAGCGTTGCAAGTCGGCCACTTGCCACGTCTGCCGACGAAGATCTGCTGCTTTGAGCCAGGCATCGTCAATCTTCGTAGTTCAAAGTTTGTGTTTCACCCAGCCGACCAACTTCGGCAGTTTTTCATGTCCAAAAGCTGGCGCTGTGCGAGCCTTTCCGGATGCTAAATGTAAAGGGCTTCTAACAAAGGCTGTGTGGAGTGGGTTTGCCGCTGAGGCAACCAAGGCGAGGCCTGCAAAGACACGGCGCGCTCCTTACTGGCTTTGCTGTCGTTGTCTGCAACTGAAAATGCGCTCCGAGCATTGCGGGGTAGCTTATTGCAACACAAAGTGAGCAGTGTGGTCCCTGCAGGGTGGCGTACAGCGAGTCCAGGGATTTGTGCGCAGAGATTAAGTGGATCCCCTTCACGTGCTTCATCAACGCATGAATGCCGTTCCTCATCGAGTGCAAATTCAGCACCCAGGAGGCTCACCATGCTCTCCACAACCTGCTGAGTGGCTTGGCTGAGCTGAGATACAGTTCGGGCAGCAGTCTCCGAGTACTGTAGTGTGTTCCCGCTCGTGTCTAGCAGCTTTCTCATGAGTTCAGACAGTTCCATCAAACACTCGGAGATGAGCTTGTTCGCCAGGTCTTCTCTGGAATGCCGAGGCAAGGCCAGCCTTTTTACGAACCTGACGGAAGCTGCAGTGTGAACCTTGATTGGCCCAGTCGAGTGAGTGAACTGAGTTCTGTGTTTGCATGTTGATCGAGGAAGGAGCCTCGCCTGGTGGTAGAGAGTTTCACATGAAGCCCTCCCTGCAGTACCGCCGCTACCCGTCGGCCAAGCCAGAAATGCTGTGCCTAATGGCCCAATGTCAACAAAGGACCATTGGGGCAGATGTACATGCCATATGCCCTGTTTAGTCTATGTGGATTGGGGTGCTGTGGGGTTCCGCTGGACCGATGACTAAACCGTCCATGGCTCGTACGTTCTTGTTTGGTACTTGCCTGGTGATGCATACAGAAGTGAGCTGTGAAAGGACTCGGCAGTTTTCTCTCCTTCGGTGGTTCTGGTGCTGACTGGCGAGGGCACGAAGGTCTGTTACCGTACCTCAATTGGCATGTGAATTGACAGTCGCAGCAGGAGGGCCGGAAGCACTGTTGGACAAAATGTGGCTATGAATGTACGTCGCCATAGGACTTGCCAGCGGAGAAACGACGGCTAGGTCCAATGACTCTAAGGCGGGACATGGCGGGACACGTGCATCAGCGGTGCACCGACATCACGGCGTGCTAGTACTGTTGCTGAGCGACTGTGCGATCCAAGACCTCAGGTCCAGCTCATCCTGTGCAAACAGCTTACACGAGTTTGACGCTGAACATAAAGTGGACAATACTGTAGTAGTTCGAAATGCTCAGGCAGTGGTGTGTCAATGTCAGGCGTTCCCGTGCTTCCCAAACCTCACGATGTCAGGAATTAAGGGCCCGCGGTTCCACAAGCATTCAGAGTCGGTCGGCTACAGGCAAGGACCCTGGATCATGGGCCGGCGGCATCAGCGGGAGTTCTTGCTTCTCGGCGATAGAAGTTCCAGCAAAGATGAACAACGCTTCGTGACAGCCTGGGGGGCTGCATCCTTGTTGTGTTTGGACATGTCCACGGAATCGATGGTGACCAGAAGCTGTTTCAGGCTGATGGTCGTGATAGGGAAGCCACAACTAGTTTGGATGAGTATTGGTTTGCTCAGCTCATCCATCGTGAACCTGTGAAAATTTCACTGAACGTTGCGCACGAGAGTTGTCATGCAGTTGCATGATTGTCTTTGTTGGCTGGGATCAGGATTTTTCGAGGATGCACTACAAACAGAATCAGAAAGACAAAGTGACTCCTAACGGGCACCGTTCCAAGGCAAGCGGTCGTGAAAGAAGAGTACATCGACTTCGTGAGTCGCGCGGGGCTTGGCTTGCATTTTCAACATCGAATGCACCAGAGCGGGTTTTTCATCGAGGTAACCACTTCGCAATCGCTTTCGAAGACCAGTGCTTCTTCTTGTTGGCCTTATCTCAAAACCGGATCTGGTTGGACAGAGGGGAGGCCTCGGGGACAAGGACTACAGGGAGCAAAACGGCATCCTTGCCGGTGTGTTGTTGCAACTGTAAGAAGTCCAGGGCAGCCTATCGGCCTATCGCTGCGGAATGACATTCGAAGAATTGTTCCAGTTCGGGACTGTGGCCTTCGGTTTTTAACGCCTCTTGCGAGCTTCGTTTGCGTGCGATTGTTTCCATCTCAGTCGTGGTTCAACAACTTCAACTTCACCGCTGATTCAAGATGATCCAAGATGTTCGGTCTGCTGATTAAAAACGAAACATGGTTCATGCAGCCAGCCTCGCTTTGCCGCAGGAGCCTGCAGCGTGACGAAATGCAGCGACTGCAACCTGGAAACCGCATCCTGCTTGGCACCAGCGAGGCGAGGCGGTGGGGGCAAAGCGAACGGAACGCTCGGCTTCGTCGCTCTTTCTGCTTTGCACTTCCGAGGCCGGAGACTCCGCAGGGATCGATTCACCGAGGCTCACTCCGCTGAGAGGACTCAAAGCAACATGGGAGCTGCTGGAACTGGATCCTGAAGCCTATCTCTGTTGTTTTGAAGCAAGTTCTCCAATTACACTGCTCAAAAAGACATCATCCACATGCATCCTTTTCGGCACATGCACTCAACCGTTGTGGACAACTTGATTACCTGGTTCACTCACTGCTCACCTGCCATGCTGTAGTGTGGTGTCATGCTATGTTTGGTGCAAGTAGTCAACCTTCCGACGCCAAGCTCTGTCCGAGTCTATGACCGTTGTCGAACTTCCGGAAAGAGAGAGGGAGACTGAGAGACGAGACCTCGTGGTCAGCGAAGACCCGATGTGTCGGCGCATCTTGCTTACCTGCTGCACTAACTGAATTGGTGTCGAAGTGGGGGTTGAGTGTCGCCGTGTGCTAAACGATGAAGACGAAGGAGGAGAGACTGCGGGATTTGTTGTTTACAGCTTACTTAGTTAGTAACTATGGGTCAAAGGAGAGGTTTGGGAGCCCTTGCTCCTGGCGCAGTATGTCAGGTATCTAAGAGTCAGAACGGGGGTCGACTCCCTCCCCCAATCTTATTCCCTGATCAATCCGGAAGGCTGCTCTCTCGATAAGCTGCGGACGGGGGTTGGGGTCCTGGCCTTGAAAATTTGCATTCGGCAACAAAGCCGCGGTGTACGTCTTCACAACTGAAGACAGCAGCATTACCTCCGAATCTTTCACATTCACGGCAGGCGTCTTTACCGACTCGTTTCCGGCAAGCATAAGCATAGTAAGTTTGTTGCAGGGCAGACAAACGTTTCAGAGTAGTTTATTGCATTGAGGAACAGGCTCAGCCATGCGTGGTTCAGTTCAGACACGGGTTTAAAGACAAGAAGTGCGAAACCAATTTCCCTCATGATTGGAAAACCGCTTGCCCACCATTTCGCGACAGTGCATGCAAGGAGCACTGCATCATTTGCATTTTCTTGGCAGCATCAGCTCGCATTTGCAATACACTTGTTGCCCGTTCCGTCCCACTAGCTTTTGTCCGTGCTGCTCACAAATGACTGGACGTGCATTCGTGAACGGGGCAGAGCGCCCCCCATGTCAGTCTCCAGAGCCAAGGAGCTGCTCTGTCTTGATGGATGTTGCATGCGCCTGGGCGTTGTCAAACCTATCCAGCTGACCGCAAAGAAGAAGAACAATCGAAGAGAATGCGCAGAAGTGTGTCACATTCTTTGCATGGCTTGTCGCAACCATCTCACAACCACGTAGCACATAAACCAAGTCTCGGAGGCCAAAACAGCGATAGCACGGGACATAGCATGGTGGTTTACCTGTAGAGGGGTCTTGACCAACGGCAGCGTCGCCGCAGTTTCGAGGATCGTCAATGTGTCAACTTGCACTGTCAAAATTGTTTGGTTCATCGTCGTTCCGATCATGATGACTCGTTATGTGCATCAGGTCGGATGATCAGGTCGTGGCATGCGACCATCCGTCGTGAAAGTGGCTGTTCAGACTATTTTGGTTTCTGTTCTTGCACTGAAGATTGCCGTTGCGTAAGCTGCTTGGGCTTTGTGCAGGTTGTGTTGGCACTTCGATGTCGCAGAGAGACCGCTCTGAAGTGACTCAACCCAGCGTGCCGCGACAAGGACTGTCAGGGCTGCGACATCTAACCAGCCGTATCGACAGTGCGGCGAGCTTGTGCTAGTTTGGTCAAGTGCGTAAACGGCCGCAAGCAAATCGCTAGCAATCTTTGTCGCGGACCTTTTAGGCCAAAATTCTGAATCTCGTCTCAAGGCAATCGGAGCACGGAAGTCGGCTCGAGCAGTACGACCGTAAAGGCTTGTGAGTAGTTTGTTAGGAATCAGGTATCCAAGCACTCGCAATCGGGCAGCGAAGTGGCAGCGACCGGCTTTCGATCAGAATTTGGTTGGAACGAAGCGTTCCAACCCAAGTTCCTCACTGGCTTGCCCGACCAAGCCTAGGTAGACCAGCCAATGATCCTTAGAGCCTTAGATAGATGCCAAAGAAGCATTGGGAAGAAAAATGCGCTCAAGTCTTCTTAGCCTTTTGCATTTTTATAGTTATCATGCAACGGGTCTTGATTTTCAGTCAGCAGGTTGGAAAATGTACGGGTTGCCCACGCCGCAAAGATGCGAGCACCTGAAGTTTTCAACAAACAAACAAACAAGCAAGCAAAGACAAAACATGATTATGTGTAGAATGTGTATGTATATTTTAATGTGTGTCACAAGTTTCAGTCATGCTGGCCGACAAAGCAAGGCGCATGCAGGAGTCTCTATCTTTCAGTTTTGCCCCAACAGTGGCTGCACCTGACTGTGTCGTTTATGCTGTTGCCCAAAGCTAGTTTTGGCTACGGCTTTTGTTTGGAGTGCAGCTGTTTTGTGGCTCGCACATGGCAGACATGTGTTCCCTGCTATGGCATGGTGGCAGAAGCCTAGGAGTGTGCCTGGCAGAGTTTGGTGTGCCATGCCGGAAGCATCAAAGTTACCTTCTTCGCCAGGCTTCCGAGCTGCAGGACGCAGGCCGCAATCACAGTCCAGGCGTGTTACTTCATGATGTCATATGACATGTGATGTTGTGGGTGACATACCACATAGACAGACGAGTGTTGAGGCCAGACACTGGGCTCCTTTGTGGCACCAAGATGCAATCAAGCCTTTGTTGTTGATCTTCGTTCGTGTGTTTGGGCATGTGTTAATCCGAGGTTGACGGCTCAAGTTGAGGCCATTACGTCGAACGGGGCTTTGTCGCTTTGGTCGATATGCGCTTGCGTGCCAGGAGTTCCTGCAGGAGATTTTGCTAAAGGAAGACGATGCCGGGAAAGAGAAGCGTCCACGGCTTGTGCAAAGGGCACGGGAGCGGAGTTTGACTGTCTTATTGTGCGGTACATTGACCATCAGGTGTCAATGCCGAAGAGCAGCTTCAGCGGAATGCTTTGCAGGCATCGCATGCTAGTACCAGCATGACTTAATCACAGTGGTTCGCGCCATCTACGGTGATTACAGGCCGCGTTGGGCCCTTTGCACAAGGAGATGGGTTTCGATCAGCTGCACTTTGCGTTTACATGAGCATGGAAGATATTGCATGGTTCGCAGACGGGCAGAAAACTGACCGACCACACTGCGACTGGAGGCCTGACATTTGTTTTGGGGCTGCGTGAAAGAAGAACTCTTCGTTGAGTTTCTTCGGGCAGCACTGGCAGGCTTGTACTTGAAATACAAAGCATGTCGTCCGGACCCAATCTGCTCAGCATATCTTTGCAAGCTTGTTCTTACGTCGGGCTGTCTCGGACTGCAGGTACGACGGACGACATAGCATCGAAGGCGGGTTCGTCGCCGTCTAGCAGTGGGTGTCCCATTTCATCAGAGTTTCGGCTCACCGAGCTTGTATGGCAGATGAGTGCGACGATGGCTGGCATTAGTTGGGTTGGCTCAGCCCTTTGGCTTTGTGGACTACTTGTGGAGAGGTCAGTCTGTTGCATAGTTGGGAAACGGGCATTGACTGTTGGTTGTAGTGCAGCTTGCTGCTCGCTGCGAACCTTTCCTCGGTATATATTGGCCAGGCATTAACCGCAGAGAATGTGGATCGTATGCTGGCTTCTGCCTTAACACCGATCATGACTGCCACCTTCACCTTGACAGAGCACGCTCGGCTGCAGAGCTTCGGCGGGGCTTTCATGCTCAGGCCGAGACCAACCCTGGCAGTCCTACTGTTTGGGCCCATGCTTTCCCGCTAGAGAGCTCCTGCATGTGGCTGTGTCCTGGAAAGTAATCTTCTAGTCATGGGATTGCTGAGGTTCGCACGGCGTCGCTCTCAGGAATGCCGATGTGGACTTCTATCATTCTTTTCGAGCCGCGGATGAGCCCAATGCCTTGTCATCTCACGACACATGAAGCACTTCAGATTCAGATCCCGTCATCTTCGTTCATTTGACCTTCGCCGGCACGGCCCCTCGCCACCGTTGCATCAAACGCTCGGAACAACTCGCCGCCACGTCCGCTGTCTCTATCCCACCTGATCTGTTTCAGCATAGCGCGGCATCTGTGGCAGGCCAGCCTCTGCAGCAGCCAGCTTTCCGTGTTTCGACATATGTGTCCTTGAATATTTTGCTGAGAGCATTGAGAAGGGAAGCGCAGTCGGTAAGTCGGGCGACTGTCGAATTGACATGAACACCGGCTTGTCGTGTTGATGCAGGGTGCCTCGATGCGAGGTCCTTCGTGTGACGGACGATCTGTCTCTGCACCTCGATCCCAATAATTGGGGAAGCAGAGCGTGATGGCAGACTTGTGCGAACTATTGCATGCTGCGTGCGAGGAAGGAACAAACCCGTAGCTGCTTGCCTCAATTATCGTCGCAAGATAGCGACCTGGTAGTGTCGAATTGGCATTCATGACAGTTGACTGGCCCGGCTCAAGCAAGGCACAGACGCCGACGACCTGGCACATCAGATCATCGGAACGCTGGGTTCTCAGATCCAAGAAGTTGAGGTCGAGGCTTGGAGCTCAGCGAAGATCCTCACAGAATTCATGCAAGGTCCAGTGCCAGCTACATGGATGCCGCCCTTCGCGTGAGTGAGTTGAGGCACCGTCAGGTTGCATCAGAGCTGTTTTTGACCACACACGGCAGATTTGCACCGTCAGGGAGCAAGCAAGGCTCACTCGCACTCTCAAGCAAGAGACGCTTGGTTCTGTTCTATGCAGCGCTGACAGCACACGGGCGGACTGTGTGTCAGTTGTCCAGGAAAGCTGACCTGAGCCTTTCACGAGGCTCACCGCTCCCGATATTGAAGTGTTGGCTGCTTCGTTTATGGCTTCCGCCTTTTTCGGCCTGCAGCCCTTTTCGGAAGCAAGCGCAGCCATCAGCCGCGGCAATTTCGAAGGCACTGCTAAGACGCGATTCGAAGGGGAATTCTGTCCTGGAGTGCCTTATAAATCTTAACTGGAGAGTCTAGGAAGGAATAAGAAGGGATCCAGAGAATGATGTGGAACGTTGCCAAACGAGAGGGAAAATGATGGGAAGGTGGGTATCTTGCGGTGATGTGCAGTGCCAGCCATGGGGCCAACTTCTCACTCGCCAATGTTGCATCCATACAAGAGACGTCACTGTGGCGGTCCGCACATCAACCAACCGTCGAGGAAGGATGTCCGGCTTCAGCG